GTTGTAGAGAGAGACGCCATATTGAAGTAAATTATATTAGTGGGTTTTGAAAGGGAGTATCATAGAAAAATTAATGAGTGACAGCGAAGGAAGGTTTGGGATAAATGCACTTGTACAGATGGTACCATAAATACCTCGACGGTTGGTCAGAATAGCACGAAAACACACTCAAATGCTGGGAAAAAATCAGATCAATTTTATCTCGAAATCTTAACTCCCCTTACCTGCCCGAATTTCAAGTAGACGCCAGATAGTGTTCAAAGTATCTAGAGGGAATATTGCCAACAACTGTACATAAGAAAGTCTTCGTGTAACAGAGCAGACATAGTGTTTACAACGATTAGACAAAAGTAAGAATGAGTCGAAAAAATAATGTTTTACACCAGCACAACCCGGGGTGGTGGGGCGACAAAAACTTGAACCCAGCTCCACTAATACCTTTTGAGGGAAGATTGCTCCCTCTCACGTTATCTGTGCACTTATATATCCTTCTGTGGTCAGGAGAGAGAGAGTCTTGTTTTATACACCACCTTCAGGGATAGAACATAGGGTGTGTGTGGGGGGGGGGGTATATGCAGCGCTATATTTCGTTAACCAGAAGTGAAGTTCCTCATTATTTATATTGTTATTAAGTAAAGTTCACCTACAAGAGATCGTAATATCAACAGACTGACCAACGTTATAGATTAGACACCTTTACAGTACCTGGCCGGCTTGGTAATCGTAACAGTCTCACATCACACCAAACTGTCCAAACCAAATGCCGTATTAAGAAGCATTAGCTGTAAAAACGCAAACGTATATTGATTTATCTTATATTAGTTTAGAATATCATGGATCAATACTCCTCCGAAGGGACCTTGTAATGATGCCATAGGTCATTGAGGCCACGTTTTTGTTTATTTAATGACTTCTTCCCCAGTTGACAAAGTGTTACTAGTGGTCATCCTTACCGCGTGACGTCATAAACCTCCACATAGTCGCTGCATACTTTAGATAAAGACACACTACGGTACGTTATAAACACGTTTGCTTTATATTTGTTGTAGATAATCGGGAGTGGTGTAGTGAGGTGTGTTGTGGTGGGGTGTAGTGTTGAATGGTGTGTCTTAGTATGGTGAAGACAAGATACACACACACACACACACATTATATACTTTATGTGATAAAAACCAGCTTTCCCGCCTTCAGGTTCAGGTGGCAGGAATGTGCGGGCAAGATAACTAGTTACATGATCCTTATATAGGCAAAGATAATAAACCCGTGTGTTGGTTAAGAGATAATTAGGTGTATCAAGTTGAGTGGCTGTAGAGACAAGAGATGACGGTACTAGCGGTGTTTGAAGGTCACATAGGTAATAAAGATGGGTAAGGGGAGAGAGGACACGATTTTTGAAAGGTCATACGTTGAATTTGTCTCGTATAACTGGAGAAGTGAGAACTCTTCCCACTTGGTCACTTAAAGCATTTCCTCAGAGATGGTGGGGTGAGGGGGGAAATATTGTGTAGGAGTCACACTTCTGAATCTATCATAACTTCCAAGGGATTCTGTTATGCGGCTTGTACCCAGTTAGGTGTACTAGATGAACGAGTCTTGGAGAATAGAACGTTTGTTGGCTAAATAGGCCTCCGTTTTGTTAGACCCATGTCCATCTGGGCCCCAGCTTACCTTTATCTAATCATTAGGAATAGGATCCAAGAGGACGGGCCTGAGTGGTTATGTCAGACCGATGCCAAATCCTCGTGGTTAGGTTGGAGGGTTATTAGGACGGGGCCCAGTTGTCCAGCCTTTGTCCAGAACGAGGCGTTGTTATTTATCTTTCCTCCTCCTCCTCTTTACCCCCCACCACAACCACCATCACTGTCATCATAACCATCACCCTATCTCCTTTTCTTCCTCCACCACCCCCTTACCACCCAACCTCCTTTTCCACCACCTCCCCCTTTCCACCACCTCCCCCTTTCCACCACCTCCCCCTTTCCACCACCTCTTCCCCCATCACATCCACCACCATCTCTCAAACCTACCAGCAAGAATCACCCGGACAAGTAATTATTGAACCAAAAGCGCCGTAAAGGAATATCCCCCAGCGCCGTCTTACCTAAGTGATGGCTAAGGCATTATCCCTCTCCCTCCTACCCTCCCATCCCCCCTTCCCCCTTCCTCCCCCTCCCCTCTGGTCTTATGTTAACCATCCGTGTTTACATTCACAGCTTTTATTACTTTTTCTTGTATCGCCTCTTTCTTCTTCTTCATCTTCATCATCGTGTTGCGTGGTTTAATCTCCTCTTTGTTTTACCTTATTTGGTTTCGGTGTTTTTGTTTTTTTCTTGTGTGTGTTTTTAGTAAGTTTGTCTCTTTCTCTCTTATTTTTTCCAGTGGTTTTTTAAAGGAAATTCTCTTCATCTTGTAAGTGACCGTTTTACACACACACACACACACACTCACTCACACACTCACTCACTCACTCACTCACTCACTCACTCACTCACTCACTCACTTGTGGAGTTTGAGAATTACGATCTAAATTTTCTTGGAATTGTTTGGCGCCTCTGAGTCGCCACCACCGGCCACTGCCTCTCCCCTTAACCCACTCACCACCAGCCACATGTGTAGCCATATACACCAACACGACATACATAAACGGGTAAATTTAAATATACAGTACAGTATATATAGTCACATTTAAGGACGTAAATGCACGAATAAATATAGATATGTAAATTTGTATGCGCACAAATATATATATATATATATATATATATATATATATATATATATATATATATATATATATATATATATATATATATATATATATATATATATATATATATATATATATATCAACACGGAAATAGATATGGACCAAATGTTTATATAAATACAAGTTTACAGAGAAAGACATAGACAGACATAGACAGGGAGAAAGAGAGAGTAAGCAAGAGTGACAGGGACAGGATAGTGGGAGGTGGTTGTCGTGGTGATCAAGGTAATCAGTGGAGGCAACTCACCGCTAGCGACCATCATAACACTAACCAGAGGAGAACATGGTCGCCAGGACATGTTTAGCCCTCCACGCCTGCACAGTTTAGCCGATAAAATACTCTGGTGCAAATGAAGATTATTTTCTAGTGACGTGAATTCAGAGATAAGGGGTTGAGGTTAATTGTGATGATGGTAGTTGGAGGTAATGACCTTAGCTGAGTGACGGATGTAAAATTAAGACACTTAACAGCCAAATTACGTAAACAGGTAGTTGTACTTACTCCTAATTAATGTAAAGTTTTAACTATAATAATATAGTATAGTATCGTAATTTACTTTAAGTATATTGGGAGTGACAAATGAAGAGTAGCCGCCGCCCCCCCTCAGCTTATATCACCTTTAAGATTAACTACCCTAAAGTTAACCTAGCATAACTTAATCCCCCAGGTAACGTTAAGGTGTTCAATTATCCGGTGAAATAAGTGATCCAAAGTGCTACTTGTATAGACTTGAAGACGTTCCTTGTGTGGTAACTAATTTATTGTAAATTATGAATGCCAGACATATCAAGCCATTCCAGCCTGATCACTACCACCCTCACCCACCTTACGATAACCGACACCACCACCACCCGTACCCCCCTTGTGAGGACCACCACCACCACTCCCCTCACCCCCCTTTGTGTTGACCACCTGCACTCTTAACCCTTCGTATGATAAACATTACTTAAACACTCACCTCACAATATTCATAAGATGCTAATTTTTCCCTTTACTGTAAATCAATAATCTTGGCGTTTTCTTTTTAATTTTGTTTACATCGACGAGAAATTAGCGACCCCGAACCAGGTCGTAAATCATTGTACCTGTCTGGTTACCTGCATCAGAGCGGATGGATTAAGCGGGAAAGTAGTGCCATCCCACCTCGACAGGAGGGGTTATAGCCCGGATATATTTGGACTGATTTAAACCCTTCAATAATATGAGATGTAGCGCCTTAATGAGATGTCACCGAGGTTGCATCAGTAACCCAGGGTCGAGGAACCAACAGGAGACGAGGAGGCGGACAGATTCCCCCCAGGCTGCTCATGACGTCGAGCTCACCTGTAGTCCTTCAGCACACACACACACACACACCTCATTCTTTTATATCTTCTAATTCTTGTTTTTCTTTACGCTTCCCTCTCTCCATCCTTTATCCTTCTATTTTCTCCCTATCCGTTCACTTCATCATGTTCCAACACTCGGTAACAGGTGATCAGTAAGACAACACCCACTCCTTGCCTAAAAAGTTTCCTCTGTACATAATTTTAAGTCTCTTCCTAATCCTTGTCTTACTTGTACATGAATGGTCAGGTTTTTTTTTTTTATTCTCGCCCCACCATAGCGCAAGAGGGGTGGGGTGGGAGGTGTATAGAGTTACTACAATCCGTATGTCTGTCTGTGCATACATAAAAATCGTTTTCGGTTGATAATTTAACAGATTATTCTACACATCGAAGTGAAATCTGGTTTGGAGCTTCGTATCATAACTGAATCATCGGGTTCAATAATCAGATTTTTTCCCTCGTCTTTTGTTGGATATCTCTGTTATAGTCTTCGAAAGACCCCCTCCAAAAAAAATCTTAAGAAAGAACCCTCCCCAAAAATTCCTGGTCAGTATCAAGTCATTTTGTACTGAGTTTCAACACCAGGTAATCCAACGTTGGTATATTTGACGGGTGATTCGATAGCCATTTAAAGTATACCACAGGTGGGAGTAATTACAATTATCCACTTTCCCCAGGTGTTCATCTATATTAAACATCTTGACGCTAAATGGGGTAAGGTTAGGTTAGATTGTTAGGTTTGATTAGGTTAGCATTCGGGTGTTTTTAATCATCAGGTGAAATAAGTTGGGGTTCCTAAACGTCATTAGATCCGTTTATTCATTAGATGATCCTGAAAGAAGTCCAAGTGTTATCTCACCTGCGGGGATTCATTAATTATTGCCTGGAGCTTGTAAGTACACACCTGTGGGCCCTTGCATGTGGACCAATGGAGACGAATACAGGTGTTTCTTCATCATAAACCTGTTTTATTTCTCAATGCCGGTGTTGGCTGAGTTAGGATCGGTGTTGGCTGAGATAGGATCGGTGTTGGCTGAGTTAGGATCGGTGTTGGCTGAGTTAGGATCGGTGTTGGCTGAGATAGGATCGGTGTTGGCTGAGTCAGGACCGGTGTTGGCTGAGTCAGGACCAGTGTTGGCGGAGTTAGGATCGGTGTTGGCTGAGTTAGGATCGGTGTTGGCTGAGTTAGGATCGGTGTTGGCTGAGTCAGGATCGGTGTTGGCTGAGATAGGATCGGTGTTGGCTGAGTCAGGACCGGTGTTGGCTGAGTCAGGACCAGTGTTGGCGGAGTTAGGATCGGTGTTGGCTGATTCAGGACAAGGTGTTGGCTGAGTCAGAACCACTGGTGGGCTTCAGAGTGTTTGCTGAAACAATGGGTAGGTGGCTGGATGTATGTGAGTGGTGTGGGCGGGTGTGAATGGAGTGTACCTATGTGAGGACAGTAGAAAGAAGAGCAAAGTTATCACATGCCAACATTCAGACACACACACACAATCACTTAGTCTTCTACAGGTTCCCAAGAGGTAAGACAGGTTTGTAGACGTTTCAGTGCTCATAAGGGATCCTAACTTTCACCCCCAGACGCCATGACGCCAGAATCGCTTTGACTCGTCTCTGAAAAATATACTGACTTGCGCTTCTTGCTCGTTTATGTTTCTTATAGTTAGGTGACCCAAAGAGCAACACACAGACAGGTTCACAATTGATACATGTCTTTTGATTTTGTACCACGATATTGCTCTAGAAAATACGACCTCTGAGATGCATTTATATCTTTGTATCGCATTACCACACATAAAAGATAATCAAAGTAAATTAAAAGTTCTGTAAATCCTGAAGGAGTGGCTAAACCATTTAAAGATATGACTATAATCGAACTGCAGAGCTTGAGCCAAGTCGCCCACATCAGTGAAATATATGTTACAAAACATCACAAATGACGAGGAGTATCTTAATATAAAGCTTTTAAGTTCACAACAGACGATCGCGTAAGTTTGGGTGAGGTGGAGGCCGGAGGCCGGAGGGGGAGGGGGAGGGGGAGGGGGAGGGGGAGAAGTAAATCGGGGATAAACCACGTAGATATTTGAGCTTCCAATTTTGTAACCCTGGATTATTGTCCGTATTCACTCTTGCATAGTAATGATGCTTGAAAGACAGCACTATTCAGAAGTTAAATATTTGTACTGTACATATATACTTTGTTCAGTCTTTCGCTCCCTGTTAAAGTGAAGTCGAGGGAGATGGTAAGATGAGTAGTCACCTTGTCAGCACCACTTAAAGATAATGTCTCAGCAGCCAAAACTTATTGTCATATGATGCCTTGACCAAGGTACTCGTAGGTCCATCCCATCACAAGCTGAGATTGGATCGTGGCAGGGTAATTTTTGATGAATTATGTATGAAGCACAATCAAGAAGACCTCCTTCACGCTCCACACGACTCTCGCACACATTTGATTCGTGTGTGGGTGGCTTTCACACACTGTTGAACATAATGATATATATATATAAACAGTATATATATAATGAGGGTTAGATTAGCTCTGACTGCAGGAGCGGACTTTCCCTCTTTCTCCTGGGTGGCAAAAACTGGTTCTCCCTTTGTAAGTCTTATGGAATGTCTTCAGGTAATGATGCGGGTTCCAGGCTTCATAGGTCTTGTGCACTCCTGCCAGGGTTCAGATTATAGGCTTCGTTATCTTTGTATTCTCAGGGCAGGTGTGTGTTTTCATGGCAAGTTTGTGGCTCTGTGTGTTCTCAGGGCAGGTGTGTGGCTCAAGTGTGTGTTCTTAGGCAAGTGCATGGCTGTGTGTGTGTTTGTTCTCAAGACAGGTGTGTGACTCAGTGTGTGTTCTCGCGGTAGGTGTGTGGCTCTGTGTGTGTTTTTAGGGCAGGTGTGTGACTCGGTGTGTGTGTTCTCAGCTTAATTCACCTGATGATTAAACACCCTAACCTAACCCAATCCAACCCCTCAATCCCCTCCCCCAGGTAGCATTAGGGTGTTCAATCATCAGGTGAATTAAGGTGGGAAGGATAATCTTCAGGTGATTCCTACAGATATATTGTTTTCCTGGCACCTCTTGACAGTGGACATCAGGGATGTTATTACCACAATCAATTAATCCTGACAGTGGAACTTTCTCCCTGCACGTGGATACTTTTCCTCCTACTCGAAGTTCTTCAGGTACGGAACATGCAGGACACCCTCAATTGTCCATAAATTTCAAGTACAGGGCATTGGGACACCTGGTGAGTACTGGGCGTTCGAACACCTGTTATCATCTACTAAACTTGAATACAGGACATTCGGACACCTGCTATCATCCACAAAAATACAGGTCATTTATACACATGCTATCATCTATAAAACGTAAGTGGATGATATCCAAACACTTCATAAAGTCCTCAAAGCTATTGTGTTGTATAAACGACTATGCAGGTGTTGTTGCAATATAAGACATAATGTGTTGTTGCAGTATGTGTGCACCATTATGACGTGTGCCGTTGCAGTGTCACGTGCGATTTTTGTTATAGAAATAACCGACTGTTACCGTAGGTTAGGGATAATATACAGTACATCGTAGATAGTGAGTGGATACTGTCACTTGTTTAAGTGATCATGCTTCTAGATCTCTCCACCTTCTACGTCTTTTCAACTTAAATGTGTCGGGTGGAACACACACACACAGGGGTGGTGGTGGTTGTGTCACATGGTGGTGGCGGCAAGTGGTACGTGTCCCCGGTCGCCCATTTTAGTTAAAGGTCACGATGATGAAATTTATGCCCACGTTAATATCCAGATATTATTCACTTAAAACAACAACGTTGAAAATTTTTTTGGGTAATATTATTAAAGTTGTAATATGTTGGTGTAAGAGTTAATAATGACTTGTTGGACTTGGGGTGATGCACAAGAGGTGCTGATCGTGATCCTTGGTGGTGCGGCAGGCAGGTGGCGGTGACCTTGCTGCCCGCGAGGTCACCAACACACACACACACACACACACACAACAGTACATTTAAAAGGAATTAATATCTGGTCACAACTCCCTAACCAAACAGTAACAGAGGCACATTACCTGCGTGTAAGATACTATGTACTCTGACTTTAAAAGTCTTACAAAGTCATCCACGATGTTTGGACTTTGCAAGCACGAAGAGCGGGGTGGTGCGACGTGTAGAGGATGTGTGAATTGAACTTAGTGGTGTTTGTGAGGGAGTTTGTGATGTTTAGCAATGTGTAGTGTGGTTGTGTGGTGTGACAGACAGGCAGGCAGCTGGCCGCTCACCCACCAAACTCCCGAGCACATTCACGAGTAGACTGAGTGAGCGTGGAGTGCTCGCACGGCCCACCGTACCTCCCTCCACCAGCCATCCAGCCGCTGGGCCACTGCCACCTCCCGCGAGTTCCCCCACGTAATAATCACTCACACATTATCCCTATCCACCATTTGAGTTGTAAATTTTACACTTCTTATTCTCTATCACTCACATGCCGTACTATGCCTGGAGTAGTGAAGAAAATGTTTCACTATGCAGTAAAATATATTTTTACTGCGATGTTTCTGCTGGACTCGACTTCCAGCCTACCCTGCCTTGGTGCCAATGCGTTCTCCGTTTTCTGCACGGTGTTGCGTCTTATTCAGTAAGTTTCGACACAATTATTCCCACAACCTATCGTTCACTTACAGTTAAGAGGACTCGGAACCCCAACCTTGCAACTAATAACGGATAATACGGACGAGAATGTAGTTGACGTTTATTTCTGTGAGGGGTGACCCAAAATACTCATAAGAATAAACAGTTGAGTAAGACTTTGTGGGCAGAGGAGAGCTGAGTTTCCAGTTGTGATTAGGTGAGGGTGAGGCGGAGGTGTACGTGTCGCTCGTGTACAGTATACCTTCATTAAGACGTGAAATGTTTATTAGTTGCAACACACATCGCCCCACACTCTGGGAGGTCTCATGAGTCGATTGGCCACTCCATTACATGTTTTACTAACTGCATGAGCTGTTATTTTTATCGAGTATCTTACGAGGATTATTAGGTACTTGGCATCTTTAGAATTGGTGACACCCGTACTAAATAAAAATAAATATTAAACGAGAGTTGGTTGTCGTGGGATGATGGCGTCGGTTACATAGAAGCGATGTGCGCTGCGTCACGCGTTGAGCACCACCTCCAGCCATTTGTTTTACTGATCGCTCTTATAAAATAGAAGAAAAAATTATAGAACTGTATACCAGTTGTGGATTCTGTGGCCTGTTTTGGGTTGTTAATTACAAGTAAATAGATCCTTAACCCAACGTTTTACGGTCAGGTTTACCAAGTCATAACTCGTTCGTGTTATGACGAAATAAGTATTTTCGTTAAGACCCCCAGAGAATCATTCTTTATCATTAGTAAGAAACGAATTCGAAATCACAAGAGCAGTCAGGACAAAGAATTAAATTTAGGTGTTCATTACATTTTTACAAAGAGAAGTGTTGTTTGCCATAGATTTAGAGCGATGCATAACAACATACAGTTAAAAGTTTGAGAAGTGTCATGTGCGGGATTTAGAAGTGCCACGATACTGTATTTAAGACGTGTGTGTGTGTGTGTGTGTGTTAGGAAGAATTAAGGAATGCGGGGAAGTGGTTATAGAATCTAATTGGTTTCTTAGTAAAAGTATCAGTTAACCTTATAACTTCATTTAATCAATAAGTCAGCATATAACACAAGCCACTCTGTTGAAATTAAATGTGTTAAACAAAAGCTCGTGTTAACACTCTTACTGCACACTTTATACTTTACTTTTTACTTTTATTCTCTTCACCACTGATCGGCTCGTTAGCCGCTGGGGCGATCGATCACGTCTTTGTTACGCACTGTTGGCAAGTACTGGGCATGCACTGGCTCCTGAATGTATCTGAACCTGCTCCAGTGCTGGTCAAGTCTGGTCTTGAAAGAGCTCACACTCGGTGCTGTCACAACACTCTCTGATAGATTATTCCAAGAGTTCACAACTCTCATTCTGAAAAGTTTGCCCTCACAGTTTTCTGGATCTGCGGCTTCTTCAATCTTGAGCTGTGACCCTTTGTGGGGCGAGCGTCCGCCAGCTCCCTAGGTAAGGGCACTCGACTGAGTAGTGCCCTTTGAGGTGCTTATACACCTCAATTAGGTCTCCCCTTGCCCGTCTGTAGTATAAGCAAGGCAATTTCAGGCGCTCTAATATCTCAGGGTAGCTGAGGTGCCATAGTGCAGGCACCAGTCTGGTGGCCCTCCTTTGGACATTTTCAATCAACTGACAGTCTTTAGCATATCTCGGGGACCAGGCGGGGTGACAGTACTCCAGACGGGGAAGCACTTCACTCTTGAAGATCGTTACGAGTACTACATATGGTTATTATTTATTGTTCTGTTAATATTGATATTAGAAGTGTGTTAATTACTCATTGTTATTGGCGAATGCTGAAAAGAAACTACAATGACAGGAAAACAAATGAAGTACTAAGATTAGCAAAAACTTAAAGATAAATACTTGAATTGTACATAAAAAGAAAAGTGGGATACTTTGGTCATAAATTTAGGGATGAGGGAATAATAGCAGAAATAGTAAAGGGCAAAGATGCGGGGTAGAAGGGCCAGGGGGTGGCAGAGACTGGGTCCCCAGCGAGATACAAAACCTTGGAGGATTGGTAAAAACAAATAATAATGATAATAGAATTTGTGAATTACTCATGGAGATGCAAATCAGTAGATATTTTAAATGTATAAAGAGCAACTAGGGACGCGATACACGGAGGGAGAGCAATAGATAAGAGGCGGGGAAGTATTACCCAAGACACTGGCCCGGCCGGAATCCGTGTTTCATCCTTGAATCGGGATTTCTTTGCATTGCTTTTCGATCAGTGTGGATATACTGTAATTGGATTCGCTGCATTGGGTTATATTTAGTGAGATGTGTACATTTGTATGTAGAATTTCAGAGAAGTAGATAATTGTAAAGTTTGTTTTAATAGAGTCTTTCTGAAATAGTGAGCGAATGTTAAAGGGTGAGAAAGAGGTGTTTTATGCAAGGTGAAACATTCTCTTAATGACAGGTGTAGACGTGTGGTCCGGAGGCAATAATGCTAGTATAAGCCTAAGTCAAGCTAGACCTACAGCGATTTCCTCAGGCACACCCTGACGCTCTCACCCCTTGTGGCCCTGTAACACTCACCCTTCAACACCTTCTGTTTTCGACGCTTAGATTCTAATTATCATACTTTTAAATCTGTCCCATAAAATATGTATACATTTCTCACTACTAATGAAGACACCATAATATAAATTTTTTTTATTACTTTACATTTATAAAATATCAGCTTCTCACTACTTGTCAGGACGGTCATCCCACTTGAAGGATTCCTGTATTAACAATCATCTGTTTTATGTCATCTGTTTTATGTTATTGTATACATCACACTTAGATTTCAGAAATACAATCGTCCAAGTGGAATGTAATCGCCAGGATGGCACCATAAAAGGCACAAGTCTTTTGGAATCATGTGTGATGATGACAAAGCCACGTTGTCAGGGTGTTGCCAAGGGGCTGCTGGTTTGTCAGACACTAAAACACAACCCTTCGTAATCCTCGGGTTGACTACCCTCATTTTTTTTCTACGATTACTTGGTCTATAACCCTAGCTGTGGCTGGATGGAGGACTCACTGACCGGCCTCACTTTTTAACATTTGTGTCTGCTGTCTGGAGTCTAGACCTCTTTATAACACCAATCTCTCTCTACTGCTCCCCACAAACACTCCCTCACTCATTAACTTTCTTGCTCTTAGTTCCCTGTAATATTTGACATGATAAAAGAAAGCCCTCTAATTTGCAATCCTGATAGAAAGTATAATAACAGAGTTGTAATAAGCTCATTATTATATAGGGAAGACCTATTGGAAAAGTGTTGCACTTCCATGGTGCCAGTTATTGTACATTTTACTAATGAGGAGACAAAGGCACTACAAAGAGTGGAAAACTCGGAATATAGAACATTACTATGGGCTAGCTAATACTATACACCTAACAGCTGCTTGAGGGGTGAAGTAGGAGCCTCACTAATGAAGACAAAATTAATGAAAGGAAAGTTAACCTGCATACAGGATAAATTAAAAGGAGAAAAATATGTTGATAGCAAAGTTCATGGAAGTGGCTTGGGAAAAGGAAAATAATGATTGAATGAAAGAGAAAAAAAAGATATGTGATGGAATTAAACAATAGCTTGTGGAATCTGCATCACAGAAAATAAAACACTGGGACCTAGAAAACTGGAGAAATGATATGGAGGTACAAACAAGCATTAAACTACAAAGAGTAGAAGGAAGGCATTGGGGAAGGAAAAAATATATATGACAACACTCCAGCTTCAATTATCCTATTTAAACCATTGCTATTTTACTTAATATCTATTTCGTGTATTTCTCTATCAATATGTCTCTAACCGATCACGGTCCCAGTCAGAGTCATCTGGTGGTAACAATTTAAACGTCTGACATCAACAAACAATCATTTCTGTCAAATTTGAAGTAGAGGAAGAGAAGTGACCTACAGTATGTGTATTAATACTTAATGTTATAGTGTAATCATTGGGTAACTATTAATATATTAAGTATACGTAAACTCTTGTGATTTTCCAATAGAAGGTATGCCAAGTTCATAATATAAAGTGGGTTTAAATAACCGAATTATATTAAATTTCGGGGACGTCAAATATTTTTGGTGTAATACTAACTGTAGATCTAATTGCAGAGGAACAGCTTGTGCTTCTTTTGCGTTATTTTACCATGAGAATGTTACTAAAATGTTTGTTTTATTGCATAGACTCGAATAAAAGGTAAATATTTAAGCTAAAAGTAGAAAGATTGTGATTTTTATGATTGCCTCTGAGGTAAATTCAGTCATTTTGTTGAAACTTTGTGGGTCAACATTACTTTTGACCAGCCAGGGCCATATAAATAATACACTTATAATAATTAATCAAATTTAATGAAGGCAATACTTTGCACGGATTCATTCAAGACCAGAGTTGACCAACACTAAATTGTAATGCAGATACAAATACATTCCGGAGCCAACACATGCCCAGTACAGTGAACCCTCACTTTACGCAGTTAATTCAACCCACGGCGGCCTGCGTAAAGTGAGAAACGCGTAAAGTGAACAACATAACATATGGGATTAATTGAAATAGAGACCGGGCCGACCCCCAGACTCCACTTTTTGACGACACACAACTGTGTTGTAGTAAAAATAACTTCTTAATTTTATGATGGTATGCACACACAATTAATAATTAAGAGAAATATCAATAATATTAGGTTTTTTAACACTTACATTAGTAGAAAAGATGGCTGGGCACACTGGGATGGGGGGTTGGTTCCGGGGCAGAGGGCAGATTATTGCCCTCACCTGTATCACTTGTATCAATTGTATCACTACCCACCACAGAGGCTTGCAGGGCCTCTTTGTCAAACCCCTCAAAGTCCATATCCTCACTATCATTATCACTGACTTGGGCCGGCTGTGGCGGGTGAAGAACTCGGTAATGTTTTGATGACTGGGCGACCTTGTCCGCACCCTGCTCGCGCCGCTTACACAACATGGCGGATGGCGGGAGGTTTGGATCCAAAAATGGCGTGGCTCGCCAGCTGATCTCCGCGTAAAGGGGTACACGCACCGCGGAATGTGAGCATTCCGGTTTCGGCAGGGTACCGCGTAAACGTGGAAACGCGGAATGTGGGACCGCGTAAAGCGAGGGTTGACTGTACTTACCAAAAGTGTAACAGAGACGTGACTGACTGCCCAAGTGACAAACAAGGTGATCATTGGCAAAGAGGAGGATAAAGTCAACGATCAAAGTCTGGTTAATACTGTTCAATATAGTACGATATATAGAAAACATCAGCTCCTTGACCCAAAAACAAGACATGGTTTTTCTAGAGGTGTTTTGTATTCTCTATCCACTGGTGATACATAACGTTTCATGTGCAGATGCCTTGTTTTTCAGGTATGAACCCCTTTTTTGCTGTACGCTTCCCTCCGCCCTTGTAGTAGGTTGGTTTATAAATTTGCTTGGCTTGGTTTGTTTTTATATTTTATTTTTAGGTTAGGATGGGTTGGGTTAAGTCTGGTTAGTTTTTGTAATATTGCTTCAATTTTCTGTTAGAGTGGATGTTTGTAACACTGCCATCACCTGCTGAGAACAGTTAAATTTAAGAAAATATTAACCCTAAAGCTGATAAAAAATAATGTAAAATTCTGTTTTAAAGACTCCACCCCCTTTTCTATCTTCTTCAAACCATATCACCAGAGCATAGACCATAAAAAAAAATAAAAAAGTAGAAAAATTATGTTTTGTTGTGTGGTCAAGGATGAAATGTGTAGCATATGACAGACTTAATTCAATAATTAGAATCTTGAAAATAATGTTCTAATTTAACTACTGTATTTGTGTATGGGGTCCCTGAAGTGGTATCCCTATAGTGAAGGGGGTCATCTTCAGTATTTAGACAAATTGTGTAAAAGTGTTGTAGCTTCTTAAATTAAGTGACAACTCTCTCATTAATGTTTATTATCATATTTCCTCCTTCAGAATTAATTACATCCCACTTGGACACCACCTATCTGGATGATTGTGTTTTTTATATGATTGAGCCTAACATAACTTAATCTAACTTTATTGCGTAAGAGGGATGACAAAAGTCACACAAAACAGACGATCGTCCAGATGGGAGTCGTCCAAGTGTGACGGCGCCCCAGATTTTAACAGTGTTGCTTTTATATGTTTCAGTCTGTTGTTTAGAAAGTTCCTTAACACATTCAAGAAAAGACATGGAAAAGTCCAGGAATTTTTTATGGCAATATCTGTCAATGCACCAGAAGACATCTGTATTAAGATAAGAAAGGGGGATTTAAGGTAAGATGCATTATTAACATCAGTAATATATTTATGCATTTTACTTCTTGTTACTGTTTTGGAAAACTCCTTTTACTGTACTTAAAGCCTTGTACTGTACTATACCTGCAGAGATAAGAAAAAGTAAAAATTATATGAAATATTTGCTGTAGCTCTGGTAAAGTTGAAAGGGATGCACAGTGTGGAGAGCTGCTATCGGATAATCACAGATGATGAACGTTTATACAGTATTAACTGATCAGATGATCTTATAATAGACCTTACTCAAAGATGTGTTTAACTATTATAAATAAAGGCTTGCCTGTTCATTGATGCTATTACCAACAGGTTATTAACACCAACAAAGTTAAAGTATTTGCAACAGTTAATGTACATTATCTAAGATTGGATGGTAAATTAGAGGAAGTAAGTGATGTTCTTAGACTCAAAGCTGGTATACTGCACAGTCAGTAGAAATTGGACTGTTGAAAGGTTTGGCTTGTAGGAAGTGCTCAGACTGGTTTACCTCCCAACATGAACCAAAATTTGACAAGATCTTAAAAACTAGTGCAAAAAATGGTACAGTTTAAAAATATCTTGAAGACTTGTAACACACGTGGTATAAATATGAAGGTAGCCCATTTGTAGGGACTCTTGTATAGGTCCCCTTTATTTTATTTTTTATTGTGAAAATTATTTCTTTCCAGGTGTTGCAGACAGTACAGTATTCACTCAATTATCTTTGATTAAGAGGAGGGCAGGTCCACTATAACTGATAAACAAATTTCACTATTACAGTGTCTCAGAATAACCTCAGGGTTGGTGAGTGGTGCAGCCACTGAATGGGCTCTCACTTAGTGCACCACCACACACAGTATTGTTTTGCTGCAGTACAATACTGTATAAGTTAAGTAATTCGTATTTACCACAAGATATGAAGATCATCTGCTCCCAAAGACTACAATCCCTCCCTCTGGTGGTGGTAGACCAGTAGAGGAAGTAAGCCAAATTCCAGTTAACTCAGTGTCATGATCATGGTTTAGTGAAGTGTTCTCAGGTGGTGAAACATGTTTATCTTGATTCACAATTAATTGAATTTCAGATAAGTGGGTGAGTACTGTGTCAGCCACCATGAGTGATTTGGAAATCAGTGGCTCAGATTCGGAGCCTGTTTCCGATGTCAACCCAGAGGAGATGGCCAGATTGATGGCTGTGAGTGTTGTCTTATGTTAATATATAATTATATGTATAGGAAATAGTGTAGCTTTGTTTACTCCTTCCTGCTGCTGTAATGTAAGAGCAAGGTTTATGAGTTATTAAAGATAATGGGGCATGTATTGTAGATAATTTAGTCACAGCATGTACAGTAATATCCACTTATATTTGTAGTGAATTTTTTTATTATGTACACTTGTTTCTTTCTCTAAATGAAACTGCACCATCCCTGCATAAGCCAGTCCTGTTTCCTGTAATACCTAGCTTTAACTTCCAATTTCTTATTAGAATGTTACTGTATTTAGTTTTTCAGTACTGTGTGTGTTTAGCCATCTGAACATTAATGTTGAATTGATTACCAGGGAGTGAAGTCTTTTCACCTTTGTTGATCATATTTTACCTTCATTACTTAGTGTTTAGTGTACTTCTCCTGAATGATGCCACAGGCTCCTCACAGCACCTCTGTCTTGTGTGTTCCACTAATGCAGCTGATGGCCCAGTTCTTTATCACCAGTCTTCTATGTTTATCTTCAAGAGGAAAGTACTCACAGCTATATAGGAAAATAAGATTGTTAGATTGTTTTATTAATGTTTTTATAAGTAATGTGTAGTATGTAAAGAGAGGCAGAGCTTTTTATGATTTATGGAGTGAAAATGTGATACAAACATTATACTGTACTTGAATTCTTTGGTTGTCGTTTAGAAGAGTGCGGTACTAAGCCTTTCAAGTTGTCCTACAAATGTAATTAATTTTTCACAGGATATAGATGAACTGGACAATGACCTCTTTAAGAGCACCTCGAAGTCTTCAGGAAAATCAGGTAGTGGAAGTACTATAGCAAAATCCCAAGATACAAAAGATCCTAAAAGGCGTGTGACCTTTAATGAAAAACCTGGGACACCAGCTAAAGCTTCAGAAGATGATGATGATGATGATGATGGTAGGAACTTTGTTTAGCTCAAATTTGAATTTTCTTTGTAATTTGGGCCAGAAATATTGTCTGCTTATATTCTGACTGTATACTGTACAAGTACTGTATGTTATTATCGCCCCATCATAGGTATGGAGCACAGTGGTTCGACCCTACCTGGGTGTTCATGCATGAGTCCTCTCAGTCTTCCTATCATTCAAACTTGTACCTCAGAAATTTAATACAAAGTTCTATACCTGTACCAGATTTATTTTTGGAGGTCAGGAGTCAAATGTAAAGTTCATGAGATCATGTGTACATCACTGTATACTTGTAAAACAAAACTGAAGAGTGGGTGAATGGATATTGACCAAGCTTACATCACATAATACTTTTTTTTTCTCCATTCAGGTAAAAAGTCAAAGTTTCAAGGGGTATAAAACACAGGTGGTAGGACGTAAGTGTAAATAATCTTTAATTACAGTACTGTACTGTAGTAATCATTTCTCTTACTTAGATTACCGGTAGTTCAAAGATATTTTTTACGACTGTTTGCACCACTATTGATGACAACAATTTGTGTGGTAAACATAATTATTGTTACAATTATAGTACTGTATATCCCACATCTACACAGTTCTTACTCCTGCCCTCCCTTTGACAGTCAAGATCTAAAAAATATTAACAAACTGTTTTCGTACATACTGTATGTCTAGATAAGTTCATTTTATTATTTATTTGGTAGACTGGGATGCTGATGACCTCTTGCATTCAGACGACGAAGTGAAACCCCGTGGAAAATTGGCCAAAAAGCCAGAGACATCAGGTAAAGCAAATAAAGTTTTATATCCTAAGCATATTTTTAGCAACCCTTGTACCAGTCCACAGTGTATGGGGGTTGAAAACTCAGAATCAGGACCCTCAATAGGTGTGTTACTAATGCTAGTCATGTCTGTTCTGCTGTTGTGAAAAATTAATCCCCGAGTTAATTTTGTTTTTCATAACTTTATCTTGAAGCCCAGTGGGCATCACTTGGTCGCCTCAGTTTATCCATAGGTTGAAGTTTGAGGAATATTGTCTCTGTGTACTTAGGAGTGCTCTTAATTTTCATATGTTCACCCATAACTCCATGGTCCAACCCCCATAGGCTGTAATCTGGAGTAAGGCTACTGAGACTTCTGGAATAATCCACTGTTTACTACTTAATAGCATCTACAGGCATTACAAAGATATGTTTGACATTGTAGTTCAGTAGTTGTTTCATTGGCCTTGGTACAGTCATTGTTCTCTGAATATCAAACCAACACCCCAAAATTTTCAACTAATATTTTGTGCACTGCTGATGGTTCTTGCAACAGATTACATTTTAGCTTGTCTTATTACAGATGCATCTTCAGTTTCACCTGCCAAAGCTGCTGCTTCTGATAAAGATAACAAAGAAGACTCTGGTAAGAAGACTATGGCAAAAAGTAAATTGATGGCTGACTTATTCAGTGATAATTCTCAAGATCTACCTAAAGAAAGAGAAACAAAATCCCCAACTTCAAGTGAGTCCAAGAAGGATAAAAGTAAACTCATGGCTGATTTATTTGGAGGGGGAGACGACTCAAGTAATCCTGGCAATTCAAGAGAAAATAAAGACTCGGGTGAGACAGCTACAAAGCGAGGGACAGCTAGAAAGGCAAAAGAGAACATCACCTTTGATGATGATGATGACTTATTTGGTGGTTTGGAAGAATCAAGAAAGAAACCGGTGTCTGACTCTCCCAAGGGTGGAAGTTTTTTAGACAGCCTATTAACAAAAAGTAATGCCTCTGAACAGTCAAAAGTAAAAAGAGAAACAAACACAGAATTTAATTTAGATGAGAGGTATAAAAATATAGGCAAAGAGACTAAGGGAAAGAGCACAAAAGATTTTGGAGGATACATGCCATCATCTAGCAAGCCTAACAGTCCTAGTAGAGGAACCCCAAAGAAAACCACATCTGATGATACTTTTGATCTCTTTGGTGACTTTGAACCAAGAAAAAGGAATCCGAGGTCAAGGTCAGCACCTCAGAAAAAAACATATGAAATAGATGATGATGATATTTTGGGAAATATTCGTTCTCGTAAAGGTGTTCTTAAAGACAGTGATAAAGAGTCTCCTCATACTAAGCCCAGCCCAAGTGGAAAGTCTTCAGAATCACCAAAAGTGAAAAAAAAGTCTCCCGCAAAAGCTCAAAATAAAGATGATTGGCTTTTTGGTGATGCAAGCAGTGTCTCCGATACTATGAAGAAAAACATAGATGAAACTTCTATTGATCAAGCAGATGAAGGTATTAAACAATCATCTCCCAGCAAAAATGAAGATTGGCTGGGGAAAATGTTGGGTGGCAACACGAAATCGCCCAGTATATCTAAGCAGGTGGAAAATGTTCTTTTTGGCTGTTATTTAGCTCTTTACATTACTGCATATATATTTATATCATTATTTCCTACTTAATGTGATATTTTATTACTTTTATGTTTATCTTCCATTTTATGCCTCATAATATGTTCAGTAAAATTGTAAATATTAATGTAAAAGCCTAACTACATTGTTTAAAGCCATAGTCACTCTGGAAATTCCTCATGAGAAAACATTAATACTGTATAATCTAATACATTATCCACACTTCTAGGCTGCATCCCAAGGTAGTTCTCCAAGTGTTCAACATCCAGGTGGAGTACCAGAAGGTGTCTCGGTATCTGCTTCGCCTGTTGCACACACAGTCACAGCAGGAGTCGTTGCTTCTAGACATCAAAATATTCAGTCATTGTCAGATCCTGTAACAAATTCAGCCATTTTAACATCTACTTTGCCAGCTGCAACACCTTTTATACCTGCTGCATTACCCACTGTCCCTTCTGTACCCTCTGTGATGACAGCAGTTTTGCAGAGTAAGTGGAATAAAAATTCTTTACTTAGTTTTGATACACTAGACAAGACTAGTTAGTTTTGATACACCAGGCAAGACTAGTTGTCATCTTATGCCTCGGTATAAAGACGAGTGTTTAAATTAGTTATAAGAGCAAAATGTTCATAAAATAAAAGCATGAGTTTGAAACTTTGTGCTTTAGCAGGTCATGATACTACTTTTCTGGTGTAAGATTATGTCTGTTCTTTGTCATGACCTTCATTTTTCTTTGTTAGTTATCTTCACTTTCACTTACATTTTCTTTTTCAGACTGACTGACTGACTATCACTACCAGTTTTATAATTTTCGTTAATTACAATGAAACATTTTGTAATATATATACAGCTCCAGAGGACTTAAAGCAGCAGTTTTTGAAACAACAACAGGAAGCTCAAGCTCAGGCTGCTGCTGTTGCTGCTCAGTTAAAACAGCATCAGAATCAACTTGAGATGCAGATGGCTCAACAGCTTCAGCAGCAACAGCAGAATATGGCAGAGGTGATGAAAAGACAACAGGAGGCAGCTTTAGAAAGGTGAATATCCTGCATGTTGATCTTTAATATGTTCTTGAAGAATTAGCTTCATTGGATACTAGGGGTTTCTGGCCTTGTTGGTATATGATTGGGATTTTAGGTTAAACCTTTTCTAAAGCAAAATACTGTAATAGTAATATTTTAATAGTCACGTGGAGTTTACTCTCTCCTAAGCCACAGTAGTATTTCATGTGGGAAAGGTGGAAATTGAGAGAGTAACTTCCTGAAGAATTATGGGGAACCAGAGTTTTTTTCTCTCTCTCCCAAATTTATTGTGTTGAGATTGTCAATTATGATTAGTGTTTCAGTTTCCACATGGGAAGGAGGAAATATAGGAGCAGCATTGATGATGATACAATAATACATAAATTAGTATGATAAAGGAATAGCATGTTTGAAGATAAAGTAAAAAAATTTCAATTTTAACCAATACGGTATTTTGTTTTGCTTTTGGGAGGTTTTCTGAATATATATCAACATTTTTTCCAGGTATAAGGGTGCAGTGTCGGCAGTTGGCCAGTATGACATAAATGCTTCCGTCCCAGTAAATAATTCTGATCAACAGAAAGATAAAGTTAGTACACTGAACTGAAATTTATTTATAAGGAATTAGTTAATGTAGGATAATTAAGCATATATGTTTTGCATTTTAAGATAGTAAGTATTGTTCTGTATAACCCAGTGAGTGTTTTATTTATATGTTGTTAGTATACCGTGTGTTGTAGCAATTCTTTTTATTGGGCTTCACTTTTTTTCCTAGAATATAGTACAGTACTGAAAATTATCAGGACTACAAACTCATCGAATACATGGACTGTACGGGTATTAATTTTTGTTGTTGTACAGTACTAAATGCATTTCTCAGTATTTACACAGGTATTTAATCATAATGAAGACAATGGAAATCATATGTTTTGTACGGTTTATTTCTCTCATTCAGTGGCGTAGCTAGAGTGTGTGCCGCCCAGGGCGGCCCTTGAGTTTGCCCCCCTCAGAGCGTGAATAAAAGGTACTCCCATATTATTATTATTATTGTTGTTATTATTATTACATATTATTATTGTTCCCATATATTATTATTATTATTATTATTATTACATATTATTATTATTATTATTATTATTATTGTTATTATTATTATTACATTATTATTATATTATTGCCATACATACACATACATATTATATTATTACATATACATATTATTATTATTATTACACACATATTACACATATTACATTATTATTGTTATTATTATTACACACATACATATTATTATTGTACATTACATATTACATATTACACATATTATTATATTATTATTATTATTATTATTATTATTATTAATATTACATATTATTATTATATTACTGTTATTATATATATATATATATATATATATATATATATATATATATATATGCATATATATATATATATATATATATATATATATATATATATATATATATAGAGAGAGAGTTATATATATATATATATATATATATATATATATATATATATATATATATATATATATATATATATATATATATATATATATATATAGCATATATATATATATATATATATATATATATATATATATATATATATATATATATATATATATATATATATAATAGTTTGTGTACCCATTATAATATTACTGGCATATATATATATATATATCACATATATATATATCAAATATATATTTAAATACACACCCTCAAAACATACTTCTAAACTTTTAAGTAACAGTTAAAACAAAAAGCAAAAACGACATAGAGGATAGGAAAAAAGTAAAAAAGTGTAAAAATTAGGACCATCTTTATTTCTGAAATGAAAACTACAACTTTCTACAAAGTAACTTTTCTTGTTTTTTGTTGGCACCCTTCAATGACATTGTCAAAAAACTATTTCATCTGTCAATTGTCGCCTATAGACAGTATGGCAAGATTTCTCAACCGCAAGGTGCTCATAGTAGATCTTGGCAATTCTTGATCAGTTTTAGTTTCGAAAACTCTCACAGGTAGCAACACTAACAGCAGTTACTGGAGACGTTAATCCTTCCCTTTGTATGCGTGCAGAGTTAACTCGCCGTGTCTGACCTAACACCTGACCCACAATTACATGAGCTCACTGGCGTATTTGTTTGAAGTTGTTTTTAATCCTCAACAGGTTCAGGTTGTGTGTGTGGCAGGGGTGGGGGGGGGCATAGCAAGCAAGGGTGTAGCTCAGACGTGGCCGTGATGATGTGGGTCAGGTGTTAGGTCAGACACACAAGATTAACTTGCCGCCGATACAAAGGATGGATTAACGCCTCCAGTAGCTGCAGATATGTGGTGATGATGAGCAGAGTGCAGTATGCCCGGGCGGACTTCCCCCAGCTATACTTTAGTGCTCTCATTAGTAGATAGATAATGGTGAGAGATAACCAGGGTTGTTAGGAATCCATCATTTTGGTGGGTAAATCTGAAGATACTGTATAGGAAAATAGTTTTGAAATTGTCAGGCCCTGAACAGCATTTTCTTGATGAAATGGATATACTGTACAGTACTCTCATCTAGCAGTTTTTTATAAGCACAAGCAAACCCGTCCTCATTCCTGCAAGATGAGAGACTGTAGGAGATACCTTTTATTTTGTCTACCTTGGTTACTTTATCCAGTAACTTATGCTTTATCTACTGAGATAAAATGATTTTTATATATTCTTGTGCCTGCTTACACCATTGTAATTGGAGTGTAACATAAAGTAGATCTTTATTAAAAATTTATGTAATGTCATTTTATTTTCCCAAAGGTTGATTTGAAAACAGCCAAAGTTGAGGTTGCTGGATTAAAAGCAGAATTGGACTTGATTCGTAAACAACACACTGAAGAAGTGGCAGTGCTTGAGGAGGGTCACAGGTATACCTGTATTTGTGTTGTTTAATGTATACAGTATATGACTGATTTTGTTACACCCAATTCTAGCAAAAAGGGCACATTACTTTACTTATGTCTGTGTAGATACTGTATCCTGATTGTTAGTGTAACTTTGAAAATTTTTTGGTCTGTGGTTAATAGACGAAATTTGTCACTGATAATATGTAATGTTGATAAAATTAATTAAGCTTCATTGCCTTTTTCATTTTAGGAGAAAATTGGATGTTGAAAAGGAAATCTGGGATCGAGTTGAAAAAAGATTGAGGGAGGAACGTGATAGCTTGTTGTCAGACTTTCAGAAGAAGATATCATTGGTGCAGGTAATTTTCATTTATAAAACATATTTTGGTTTTCCCTGAATCACTTTACAGAGATGTTTCACAATAACACAGTTGTGCCTTCTTTAATACACTACCGGTACATGCAAGTTTCATTTTCACTTTTTACCGCCATTGATTTTCTTGTACAATAAAGTGTTAAAATGGTCCTGTACTTTTAAAACAGGTGTTGGGGCTGAGTGGATACAGTACTGTACTTCCTGTCCTAGGGGATGCTGGTTTGTGCCTGGGACACCCATAGTCCACCCAGCTGTGAATGGGTATCCTAACTTTATAGTTGGGGAAGTAAAGACAGTAGAGTACAGTGGTGACCACACTGCCTGCCTCCTTGTGAACTGAAGGTCACTTAACATTCAGAGTATTGTATCCACATGCCCTCTAACAGGTAGTCAAGCCACTTGGACCCATTTTCACTTTTATTCTTACAAGGAAGAGAAGGAGAATCTGGCTTCATCCTATAAAGTCCAGCTGACAGGCATAAAATCTGAATGGTCTCAAGCAGTGGAACGCACAAAAGAATTATATTCAGGAATGGTTGAAAGAATGAAGGAGGAACACCAGGCTACCCTGGAGAGAATGACTCAGCTTAAAGAAATGGAACTAAAAGCTGCTTTATCTGCAACAGGACATGTTAGGTAAGAATATTGTTATATCACATCATAATTTTTTTCAGCAAATATAAATAAATACAATATGTATAAGAATGTTAAATTAAATGTATTATTTATTTTCACATGAATTTCAGTAAGGCTGTATGATTTCTTAAATATACCTCTATATAGTTGTGTGTGTGTGTTCAGGTCTTGTATAAAGAAACTTTTAATTACAGAGAAGTTGAAGCAGTGATGACACAGTTGGAAAGCAACACCTCAAATCTTTCTGAATTAACAGCTTCAATCAATATCCGCCATGATTCATCGTTGGAGTTAACACAGAGGGCTCTCAAGGTTAGATTGTCTGTTACTTCTTTCACAAAGTAATTTTATATTGTGTGAGCCCAAGTTTAAGTTTCGCTGGACTAGAAGTTGTTGTAAGCCAGAAAATAATCCATACCCACAATTCTTGGTGGCATCCCTAATATCCAATCACCTTACTTGCTGTTTGGGTGGTCAGTCTGTTCTTTGTTATGACTTTCATTGTCCAGTGTCAGTGCAGAAGGAAACCAGAGTATTCAGAGAAAACTTGCTATGTTTGGTTGGGTCACACTGGATAACACCCTTCTCACATCCGACCTGGGCTGGGAATTGAACCCGGGACCTTGTCATGTGGGATGCAGTGTGTAGGTGAGTGGTAATTTTCATTGTACATACTTGTATATCCATTTAAAACAGATGAAGGAGAAGCAGTTGCAGGAATTTGAGGCGCAGTTGGCAACATCACGTGCTGAATCAGAGGGTGAGAGAAACAGACTGAATACTCTCATACAAAGGCTAGAGAACACCCTCATGCAGCAAGGCTCAGAGGTTAGATTATTAGCAATAAGAAAAGGTATTACTGTGTCCATAAATTATTTGACACAATGCACAAATGGAACTCTACTAAGACGAGAAAAAACTTATAAGAGTTGCTTGTCGAGTACAGTAGTGTAATATAAAATTAGCCTGTTCTATCAAAAATGTTTACAGTTTAATAAGTTATAAAATGGGTCAGATAAATTATGGACACCCTCTATATGTGGTGTGGTTGTAACTGAAATATTAATGAAGTGATCTTGAGACTTGTAAACTCAGAACATTGTCAATCAATGAGAGTACCATCCACATATCTGAGGGTGGGTGACCACAGTCCTCCACTCTAAATGTTTTGAGGCTGTTTTTATCAATCCTTCAAGGGTTTTTGTTATCTCTGGGGACCCAGTATTTTTTATTTCATTCGATGTAAAGGATGAATAAAAAACAGTGAATGAAAAGAATGAAAACTGGGAGGTATAAAAATTCAAAAAGTGTCAAACAATGATTGGATTATGTTATGTGTTTAGGTTGAGAGAATGGTAAATGAAAGATTGATCAAAAGAATTTGTACTTAAGATATGAAGCATCAGAAGGAGTGGGGAAGACCATTTCGGAGATGGAAGGATAGTGTGAAGGACACATTAAAAGAGAAGAGAACAGTCAACAAAAAGCAGTAGTGTACATTAATGATAGCACAGCACAGGTTTATAGAGATGTTTTAACATTACTCTATGAGGAAATGAGTGACACTCTGTTTTTGCCTTTGTTCCCAGCTGCCCTTCAGTATAGAGGGCCCAGGCTTGTAAGAGAAAGAAAAACAACATTATGAAATCAATAAATATTTAGTGTCATCAGTGTTGTTTGTTTATAAATGAAACCCATTTTCTGTAAGTGGGCAGCAGGCATTGACTTGTACACTCCCTCCCTCTCATTTCATATACCAGTTTGCCATCTACTAATTTATAATTCTAACTGAAGTCTTCTTCTAGGTTGAGAAAGAACGTTGGAGGCTTGCTCAAGAGCGCATGAAAATGGAAATGGAACGTCAGGCAATGACTGAAGAACGGAAACATTTGCGGGTTGGTCATTACTTAAGAAAGTCTTGTATAATGGATATAATGTATCCATACACAGTAGTATTAATTACTATTTAATGTTTTTTGTATTGATTGAGCAATGATATTTTGTGGGAACGGTATTGTTGATAAATTTACTACCTGCAGTTTCTCTTGAAATCAATATTTCCTCAGATCAGTACAGAAACAGAACGACAGAACTTGGCCAGTGCTCGGGAAAGCTTAATGTCTGAGCACAGGTCTCTGTTGCAATCTCTGAATCGGCAGAAGCAAGAATTGGCCAGCCAACAGGCAAACCTCGGTATACAACAGAATTTAGGTCATGTTTCTGCTCTAGGGACCCACATCAGTGCTGGTAATATGGTAGGTAAAATCTTCTCCCATACATTCGTGTCTGATATAACATTGCTGCAATTTTTGTAGCACAGTTAGAATAATTCTTATGTTGGAAAATTGACAACAAAAGTTGATGATAAATATCTGGAAAAAAAAACACATATGGCACACCCTCAGCCCTGACTGGTGGAAGTGTACAATACTTGACTTGAAAAACCTTGATTGTTTATTTTCTTTTCTTAAAAGAATCACTTTGATGCAGTTGCTGAAATGCCAGCATTGAATGAGGAGCGTCGTAGATTACGTGAAAAGATAGCTGCTGTTAACATTCAAGAGCAACAACTGCAAGAGGAAGAAACTAAATTAGAGCAATTGAAACTACAAGTGGAACAAGAGAAAGCAAAGGTAAGATAGAAGACAAGCATCTTTGAATTCAGATTAAGAAAACATACATTGTTACTGAAACTCATTGTTATATCATAGAATTATATAAACCTGTAGTATGTATATTCTGCTTTAACAGTTAAAACTAGAACGAGAAGTCTGTGCCCAAGAACAGCTACTGCTAACAAAGACACGTAAAGAAACTGAGGCAGCAAGACAGGAAGTTGATTTGCTCAGGCAAGAGCAAGAAGCCCGACTTAATCAGATCACCACTCAGACTCGGGCTCTTCATAAACACCAGGAGAAACTAGAAAATGTAATTACTCTTCCTATGGTTTGTCAGTTCATTATTAATTTGAAGATATTAATTTTAACACAGTTTTATGTGAATAACATTATCTGTTGTGTTGCTTAAAGATTTCCATTTTTTAGTTCACAAGGTGTTAAGGATATATGAGCCTTCATATTGGGGAACTTTTCTACTTGTGTGCCCAGATTCTCAGTCTTACCATTTCTTTCTTACCACCCACAATTATTTACTTTTTTCTTTTACTAATACTGTACTTAATTTTAAATTTCTCATTATGTTTATACCATGTAAGCAAAGCCTTGTCAATAAGTGCTCAGCTCTCTGTCCAACACTTCTTTCATTCCCACATTTTCTTGTATCTAAATTATTTACATCCTGTTCATACCACATGTTGCTCTCCCCTGCATCTTTTCAGTCACTGCAATTGTGCTTCTTACCCTTACATCTATAGTTGTCTTCACATCTGTATGGTAATGTCAGCTCAAGTACATCTCCTTTGCCTCATTTGACATGATCCTCTCTTTCCTTAGATTTTGAATGCACCTCTTATCTTTCCCTTTACTCTGTAATTTAGGTCATCACTCCTTCTTCCACTCATTGACAGATCCCTTAAAAGATAAAAAAATACTTCCTCTGTTCTGAAGTGAATTTTATAAATTTCTTTGTATTTTTATTTATTTTTTCTATAAACAAAGACCTCTGAGGGAGGTCCTCCCCCGTATATATAATAGCTTTGAAAATCAACCATGAATTGAGTACAGTAATAGAATGAATTGTATGTTTTGCAGGATCACGTGAAGCTAGAACAGTTGCGAGAAGAAGTGGTTCGTTTGTCACAGTATGGTTTATGTGCTTCTTGCCGAACCAAAGGAGCAGCAAACTTTGTACTGGAATATGTGACAAAGCCTTATAATGGTCGTCTCCCAGGTGATGGTGGAGAAGGGTACATTAACAACTCTTTTAAAGTGGATCTTTCCAATAAAGTAAGATTATTATGTGTGCTTGTAAGCTTAATTTATTTACATTTGTTTATAATATTTAAGGTTGAAACTATCCAAGAGGACACCAAAGTTAATAAAATACTAAGTTTCTCAAGTCAAATATATGCCTGTTGTCTTGTGTTTTTATTGAGTCTGGATCATTTAGTTGGAATTAGGGTTCAATAATTATTATGATTTCTCTTTTTTAATAACTTTGATGTTAATTTCCATGTTATTAAGTGAGTCTTCTTTTCAGGCCAACTTGTCCCCAGCATCAGTCCTAGCACGTTTAGCAGCTGCACGAGAACGTGAAAATACAGAGCGAGAGAAGAGACTTTTGCAGATGTCTGTCATGGAATCTTCTTGACATTTTGCCTGGTATAGATTTCTCACTTTTTAATGCACCTAACTACAAAAAATATGCAATGGATCCTTATTATTGTCTTGGTTCATAATTTGACATTTTTAATCAGTTCCTGATTAAGTTTGTGACTGCCACATCTACCAGTGTTTATTCTGAAATTTTGATGAGTATTTAAAGGACAATAATGTACACCATTAATTAAACTACTAAATACAATAATTTCTTTAAGTTTATACTGTATATTCTATACTTCTTTTTCAAGATTCGCCTCAGGGTTTCATACCAACTTTTCTTTTGAGTACAGTATTTACGTAAGGACCATTAGTCACAGCCAGAAGAGATATGAATGGCATTTTACTGGTTTGTAGATTCAGCATTTCAACTTTTAAAGAATTTCATCCAATGCAGACAAATCATGAATGCATAGCAAAAGTTGAAGGTGTCTATATGATATGCAATGGAGGTGAATGGTGGTTGGGGTAGAGCCAAGTACTGTAATGAATCTTATTTGTATTGCAATGCTAATGACTCTGCCAGTAATTTTTTATGGCAATTTTTGTTACATTTCTTTCTTCACTCTGGATGTACTGAAGAAGGTAAACAAATTAATTTCTAATTCCAAGAGAAAAGTATTCACTCCAAAAAATCACCTTTACTGTATCAGTTGTGATCTTAGAAATTTTGATTTTATTCAAAATCTCATTATATATACACTACTTGACGTGCTGATTAAGAATCTACAGTAAACCCTCGATAACTCGGAATGTTATATAATTCGGCATGGATACGGTCTCGGAATGCATTATAGTATAACTATGGAAATGCCGAGATTTTTTAAATTACAGTATCTGGGAAAATCTTGGCATGTCTGGTCACCTGTGTCACCTATCCGGTACTATGATGCTTCATTCTTTGCCTGCAGTGCCGGTAAGTGTTACTTTTTTTACATTTAGTAATTACATGTACACATATGGGTCAATAATTTTGTATTTTTGTTGGAGAGGGGAAAGTGCCTTGGTAAGTCAGAATTTGGGATAACTCAGCAAGGCCAGAGCCCCATATGTGCCAAGTTATTGAGGGTTTACTGTATGCTCAAAAAGTTGTTATTTAGATTACTTGTGCTAATAACTCTTGGAAAATTTAATTAGTTTTGCAACACTAAATCCTCACCACATAATAGTTTTTATGGCAATGTTTTGGTGGGTTGGTATTAAGAAGGGTATCCAACTTAAAAGCTTTGATTCAACATGCCTGATGGCAAATTTGTAATCATGGATAACCCATGCAAGCATGGAAAATATCCGTTAAACAGGTTAATTTCCATTTCCGAGAGAAAAGGTGGTTTTCCACCAAAAGATCACCAAGCCACAAACTAAATTTCTTTTTAATATGTTCAAATTCTCAAAAAAGTATAGGTGTTCCTTGACACGATGATTGACACATACTTGGTCTGATATATAGATCCAACGTATACTTCTACGACAGTTATATTGGCATTTTCATATTTAAAATGTTTCTTTTTCATGTTTAGTACTTTTTATGGTATGACATTATTGTTGAACCATAAAAAACTACTAAACATGAAAAAGAAACAGTCTGTATGTATGTTAAGTACAGGCATTATACATACAAACTAAGTTAATTATTCTTTGGTTTTATTAAGATATAAATTTTTTTTACTTTTTATTATTTAGAACTCCTAGCACTATACAAACATACATCTCACAAAATTGTAATTCCTAAAATCATCTTTAGTAGTATGGTGTGGCAGGAATATTTTAGACATGACCAATGGTGATCTTGTATCACAAGATTCTAAATACAAAATAAATTTCTTTGACAAAGGTGAAAATTTTCAGTCAGTTTGAATATAAACTGTATAAACAGATTGAAATTAATACATCATTGTCAGTAACAGTGCACACTCCAAGGGTTATATATGAGACAAAGTGACTAATAATTTTACAACTTTTTCAACACCAGTTCCAATTGCACAACTTTAAGGAAAAGTTAAATTGCTTAAACTTCATGTTTGTAATAAACTCATCATTGATCAAAGTTACCACTTCTTTGACATCTCCAATTATTTGGTTTTCTCCTTATTCCAGCACTTTGATCCCAATATAGCTCCTGACAGCTAACCATAGTCCAATGCCTAGGGGTTAATAATTAACCCATTAACAGTGTTGTACGTTGACGGCGTTAATTTAACGCAGTCAACTTTTTGTTAACGCTGATGCCATCAATTTTTTGCGGCAGATGACGCTACAGGTGACAGTCAACTTTTCACCTGAGCGGAGTGTCAAGCGTCAATTTGTTCGTCGACTTCTAAAATTGTCAATTTTTCCAAGTTAGATTTTCAATTACAATATCTTGTTATATAGACGACCGTGAAAAATTTTGCCGCACCCGCCGCCCGGGCAGCTTTCTACAGATTTGAATTTTAAAGTCAGGAAAAAGGCCACCAACCAGCTGTCCAGGTTGGTGGAGATGTCCATGCACGAGACTGAGAGGAGCAGCAGTGAGGGAGATGACAACGACCATGACGTGGAGGACGAATTGTTCCAGGCCCTGTATGAGGCCCCCGCAGGAATGAAAAAGACAGTGACCTATTCAAGCCCTTCCTGGGGGAGAAACCTTTGAAAAAAAATTTCGACAAGGACACCTTCCTCAACAAGGCCATGAGGGAGTTGTTCATCAAATACAACACCCCCCCATCCTCTCTAGTGCTGCCGTGGAGGGCATGTTCTCCATGGGCAAGGACATCTTGAGGCTCAAGCGCAGCAGAATGAGCGACAAGCATTTTGAGATGCTAGTATTCCTGCGGGGGAATAAATGAATAATTAAATTTATATAATATAAATCATAATAAATTATTAAAAATGAATGAATATTTTTTTATTTTGCATGTTACTCCCATACACAGGAGAATATGCGTTTCACGGCTGCTTTTGTACATCACCGAAAACTCGTTGACGCTAAAGTCGTCAATTTATGAAATCGTTTATGCCGATGCTGACGGCATAAAATTTCCCGGCTATTTATGCTGATGGTGCCACTTTTTTCATTGAAGCGTACAACACTGCTCATTACGTCAATGTGACCCATCTTCGTGTGCACATTACTTCAAGGATATTCATAGTTCTCAAAATATAATAAACAAATCAACAGTCACATATGCATGAGATTAAATAAGATACAAAGTATAAAAGCTGTACTCACTTTGAATAGCTAGCATCACAGAAAGGTGAAGTGAGCTAGTTTGGGGGCCGGGAAGGAGGGTAGCAGTAGTGGTGGGGTGTTGAGTGGAGGTGTCAGGACATGTGCGTAAATTTTCTATGACTAAATTACACCCTGTATGTGGATAGCTTTACTTTTCAAAACAATTATCACATTGTTATCTGGGGGAATATTTTATAATAGTTATTACACTATAAGAAGGCATACACATTTCACCACTACTCAAATAATATAAAATTTTGTACTGTATGATGCATGGGTGGTTTGGGACAGTGGATTGTGAGTGGCTAAGTTCTAGGGAGCATCCAGTGTTTGAAAAATTGATGCATACATCTTAATCCCTGATGTGTGTATTTTTTGCTGCAGCAAAAGATGTGAATTTATTACAGTTATAAAGGTAGTTTAGAACAACTTAGGATCATGAGATTTATAAAATTATTCCAACATTACATTTATGTAGCTTAATACTTATCACATTACTGTACTTATAAAAAAATATTGATAGCCCTGTGGCAGCAAAGTATAGCAGATGATTTAACAATGATTTGTAGCTACAGGCCCACAATGTAGCCAAGCTAAGCTGAAAAATCCTAAAAATATTCTTTGTACACTTATAACCATATTGAGCGAACTGGTTAGGCCAATAAGTACATCCTAGCAAGCTAGGTCACACAACACCACAGTTAATGATCAGGATACCACCGGACATTATTCTTGGAGGCCTGCAAAGGTTATATAAACTTGAAAACACTCAGATTCTTGACATATATGGTTTACCTCCAGATAATGTACAGTAACTGTAAAACCACTTACCAGTATATGAATACAGTACTACAGGCCTGGGCAGCCCAGATCATGTGTTTGTGCGATTCGTGGAGTGATTGAGAAGTTCTATTTAATGTGGCCCGCAGTTCAGGTAGATGCAGCCAGTATATGGTGAGTAAAACCATATTTATTTAAAGAATAATCTTCACACACAATTCGTTACTGTTTCATCACCAATGAGTAAGTAACTACAAAAATGTAACAGTGAAATAAGTCTACAATATAAACATTTTAACTTGTGTGAGTTTACGGGCCAAGTTTGACGTGGTCTGTTTAATGGATTAGCTGCTATGTGGCAGTGGGTCACTTGGGAATTAACAAAGGTTGGGTAAGTCCAAGTGGGGTCACACACAATTTAACTAATTAAGTACTTCCAGAATAACACACAAAACCTAAATCGCAACTCAGAAACCCATAGTTGGCGAGTAATTAGCATTGAAATGTAATTAAAATATTCCAAGCATCATTACAGCCACTAATTATCCTGAAATCGAATCATGGACCATAGATTCGGAATCAGCATACTCGGGAGTACCTAGTATACTGCGATTTTCAGCGAAATCTAATTTTTGGCCAAAACCACCAAAATACTAAGCCTTAGTAATTTTTCGACCGAAATACAGGTATACTTTTCTCTCGGAATTGGAATTTAATGAGTAACTGATTAAGTACTTCCAGAATAACACAAAAACACCAAAATTGCACCTCGGAAACCCATAGTTGGCAAGTAATTAGCATTGAAATGTAATTAAAATATTCCAAGCATCATTATTACCCGGCAATCGAATCGTAAACCATAGATTCAGAAAAAAAAATATATATATACTGTATATTCATACGCAGGACGAAATAGTCCCGTATTCATCCGCGTTCGTTGTAGAAGTTTCGTTCGTTATAGCATTCTCAATTTTATAGGTAAAACCGTTCGTTACAGGAATATTCATAGTAGAATCCGTTCGTTATAGCATACCCGTATGAGGAACTACAATGAAACATCCTATAGGCACATTTTCTCCCTCTGCTATATATATATAGGATGTTTCATTGTAGTTCCTCATACGGGTATGCTATTGAAACGCGGATGAATACGGGACTAGCGTATGAATATCAGCTCACAGCAAGAGCGTCAGGCGCCATACTGGTTCATTGTGTAGTCACTGCACCACTGAACTTGTTGAAATTTCATCTTTTGATGTGGAAATTCGTGTTATTTTTGTAACTATTTTGTTATACAAGTGTACAATTGTAACAATGTATCGTTAAAAGTGAGTGAGAAAGCTAATACCCCTTGAAACTAAGAAAGAAATTATAAATAAACGTGAGAATGGAACAAGCATTGCAAAACTTAGTAATGAATATGGGATGACTAAATCGACTATATGTACGATTTTGAAGAATAAAGAGGAGTTAAAAACTGAGCAAGTGGCTAAGGGAATCTCTAGACTTAGCAAAGCAAGGTGTAATTTGCTGAACAACACTAAGGTAAGATAAGGTACTGTATTTTTTACAATTTCCACATAAATTTTTCAGTGTTAAGTGGTTGAAGTGGTTGTATTTGGGGGCCTGGAACGGATTAATCCTATAATGAATGAATGCTATAACGAACGAGGTTCTAGAACCAATTAGATTATGGTTGGCATTATTCTGGTGGGTGTCTCATAAGTAAGAGAAATGGTGTAATTGTAGGAAAAATCAATGTTTTGACAGACTGTTTCACTCGTCTTGTTAAATGCTAAGAAACTTGAACATATTACCTAAAAAAATACTATGATGGATTTGTTTCATAAATGGGAAAAAGACTGAATATAAATTGAAAATATCGTAAGGTGGACGTAAAGATAAACTGCTTCACTGTCCGTGCTAATACAATATTAACATGACTTTTGGGTTAGGCAGGATATAAATTTTGGTGGGTTGGCCCGCAGAAAAAGTGACCCATGACTGAGGAAAGGTTGCCCATGCCTGCAGTACTATATTTAAACTATTTTTACTCCTTTAAATGGCTGTAGCACTATGTAATGTAACTTAAATTACATGTACTGTATTTGGGAGTAATATACAGTTCAACAGAGCAAACTACTTTTATGTGAATTACTTGTTTTGGCCATTCAAACAAATACCTTAGAATATATTTCTATCTTGTCATGTGTTACTGACTAGAATCAATAAATTTAAATTATGCAAAACCTGGAAAATTATGCAATATGTTAGTTTCCAATAAGTTTCATTCTTCTAGGTCTACTTTCACCTTTACCTTTGTCACATAGGGTTAATGCACAGCTCAGTTTTTATCATTTGCTCCAAGTTGGATTGGCAACAGTTCTTCTCACACGGGTCACAGTTATTTTTTCTTCAAAACATTTTGAAGCTCCATAAAAGATCAACAGTTCCTCAATGGCCCGATCCTCTAGCTGTAATAAAAATATATAAATGTCAAGGTATTAGTAGATACAAGTCACAGTATGTCGACCCAAAATTACGAGTTGAAAAATAACTGCTCCGAGTGTTAACTCGGGCATCCTCTCTCTAGCACTGGTTCAGTGAACACCTCCCAGGCATTTGGTTGTAAAGTTGGTACTGTAAGTGCTTATTGTATATAATGTACTGTAGTGCAGTGATTCCCCCATAACCTCTGGCACCTACCGCATGGCACCACAAGCTTGAATTATCCTCATCCTTCACCTGCAGTGCTGGTAAACTTAAATTTTTGTGCAAGTTTTCTGTTTACGGTAAGTAATTTTGTCCAAAAAGTTGGGTATTGGGGTGGGACAAAAGATTGGGAGGAGAGTGCCATGATAACTCGGAATGGTTAGACCCATATACAGTAATCAGAGATATCAAGGGTTTACTGTAGTTATAACAATTTAAAAAAAAAAAAAAAAAAAAAAAAAACTAATTATGATCCTGTTTAAAACAACAAATGATTCTATTATATAATTAAAATGTTCTATTATCCAAAGCAAAGTTGAAAAGTCATTAAAATATTATACCTGTATCATTCCCAGGGGTTTGGACTGTTCTCTCATTAAATTATCAGAGTGAGTTTCTTCTTCAAGTAAGATGTTAAAAAAGCTTGGCACTGCTGGAAGTTGAGGAGGAGACTGAGGTACATGTTTCTCTAAGTATTTGTGACCTGGAGAGGGAAGGTTGCCATCCACAGGAGAAACTGGTGGTGAAGATGCCACCACTGACCACAGTCCATTACACTCCTTTTCTATAACCGACTGATTATCTGCTGAAATTTCATCTTTACCCCAACTGAAACTGAAATTTATTTAAGATTGTAATCAATGCAGTTACTCGCCATAAATTTTAGCTATAAATAACTTGAAATAAGCTATGACCACATGAACATTAATTTCTCTGTTCATGGCTGAAGGTAAAGTTTACTGATTTTTTTTTTTTTTTTTTTTCAGCAAATTCAATATTCTATGACAGACAATTAATATAGTCGGCCATATTTAGTCAAAACACATGAAACTAATGTCAGATTCAATAAAAATTATTTCATGCTTGAATTGGAAAGTCCCACCATCCTTTTATAGATACAGTGAACCCTTGAAGATCCGGACTAAAAGAGGGGAACCACCTATCCGGAAAAGCTTATTGTCCGAATTTTCCAGTGAATAGTAAATGATACAAGAAACATCCAAAATACAGTACTAATGTAGTGATAAACAAATTACTGTATATAAACCATGCATTTACCTATGATAACATAATAAGAAACATTGTATCATTATTAGAGTGAATGAAATAATATTCCCAAAAGCAACAATTGTCAACTCTGTTTATATTTCCCACCTCCTCGGGCACCTGTGTCCAAGCAACTGACAGGTCAAGCAACGCCCACGGACCTAAAATGTTTTTTGCTCTGGTTTGGGAATGTTTCTTAGGGAAACTTCTAGGAGGGTTCTTAGCTCAGAACCCCCCAAAAAGTTTTGTCCGGATCTTCCTAAATCCTTATTTCCCAGGTTCGGATCTTTGAGGGTTTACTGTATACCAGGCACAAAATTAGTTTAATTACCTAACCCTGTGAAAAACCCTATACTTACCCTCTCTTGCTTGGGGTACCTGATCCAGACTGCCTCTTGTTGCTTTGGATTGGTACTGGGGGACTGCTCTTTTTCAATTTTGCTTCTTCAGCCTTCATAATGTCAGCCAAAGTTTGAGAGCCAGTTATAGCATTAGCTGTGACAATGGCACCATTGGTGGTTCCTGAAATATAAATAAATTCAAGTATCTGTAGATACCTTCCATAGTCCCAATAATGACACCAAATATATACTGGGCTATAAGTAATATGGATTTGCATGAGTATGACCATTTTACAGTACTTGATTATGTTTAAAGTTTAAGACATTATCTAGTTTAACAGCAATGCTAATAAGATGAACACTTACCCCACGCAGGTGCAGAAATACTCCTAGAAAAACATTGCACTCGCTTTGTTGATTCTTCAGAAGCAGCTGATTCTGCTGCCAGTTTCTTACGCTGTTTCTGAGACAACTTGCCCATCTTGCTACAGAAAAATAATTTTGAGAACTGCTGTTAAGAGTTTTGACATAAATGTATAATGTATACAGAAATGTCTGGGAATAAAATTCTTATATAAAATCTTTTTCATCCTTACAATCAACTTACCTAATGACTTTTTTTTTTACTACCCACATTCACCTTTACTTTTTGGTTCATCTTCAAAACACTTTGGAGAAATTATGTAATACAGTACTTTTAACTCAAAACTTACCTGTTTTTTGGCAAATGGGCATTTTTTTGTGCTAATTCCATGGAATCTTGTAAGCTTGGGAACTTGGGTAATGAAGTCTCTCTGAAATCAACGAATAAAAGTATTATCACAACAGTCAAATTACAATAATATCATCTATTTAACTATAAAATCTTTAACTTGGTTGTTTATTCCCTGGAAAGAATGTCAGGTTCAAAGACAATTTTACTAGAAACCCCATCGAGGAACATGAGCATCTTATTTGATAAAAACTGGCTCAATAATTATAAAGAATGCCCAGAATAAACAAAATGAACATAACAGTACTGTACAGTATGTAAGATAAAGAAAATACAGCCTGAAAAAACAAATGGATAAGCTGATAAATGGAATTATTCCAATTGCTTTCCCACAAAACCACACAAGTCTAGGAATTTGAATCCATTAATTATTAACAGGTACATTAAAAAATAATTATATCTTGATTGGTCCAAAGCGAACATGCATTTATATCAGTAAATGTTAGATACAATCCTTATTGGCACACCTCTAAGATCATGTGCAAAACCTGGAATATATTGTCCACAGATTCATCAAGGAGGTGAGATCCCCTCTCATGTACATACTGTACAGTAAACACATCCTTATGTACCTGTTAGATGTTTCCATAACACAAGCCTGAATTCTTCCGGGAAAACCACAAGACTGTTCATTGTTAGCAGCAGGACTTTCTTGATTGAGTGATTCTCTTCGTGATTTTATAGGTAAAAGGGCTGAGTGACCAACTGTGCTTTTCTTCTTGCAAACTTTCTGCCATGAGCTATTTTCTGAAAACATGAAGAATAAAATGAGGAGTCTATCCACACATCATACAATTAACTCAGTTCCACACATTTTGTTATTACACAGAAATATTGAGTCAAATTTTTTTTAAGAGTACAAATATCACACTAACCATGTATCATCTGCACCTGGCAAACCAACTCGGTATTTGTAGAAGATTGTAACACTGACTCAGGCTTACAATTATTGCTTTCACCACTTGGAGATTCAGTGAGAACTCGTTCTTGTAAGTCATTGAAATCTAAAGTTTCAAAATCCTCTTCTAAGTCTCTAGTTATGTCACAGTCAGATGAACTAACAGAGGATGATGATATTTTTCGAGAACGTCCATCTCCTTGGCTGTTGCGGTGCTGGCGTTTCTTTTTACGTGTTGAGCCAGAACCTCCAGCAAATGATAACGCCTTCTCCCCTGTAAATTAAGCAAATTGAAAGTTACTAAGTTATCCACCATAATTTTTACAAAGGGGATATATATATATATTTAGTAATAATTTAAATGTATACTACTATTGTAACACCTCTTAGTCATGTACTTTCTTGCTCTGGTTATCACCTTTATTTTAATATTACCCCTTTACAGTATTTCATCATCATATGTCTAACTATCTCATTCATGCCTATTTATTCCTCTTATTTTATATTTACATTTTTACCTGGGGAAGTCTAAAATATTTTTAAGTACGCTGGTCAGTATGATTTGTGAGTCTCACATCCACTGGTCAGATAGGTTTGCGAGTCATTTTGTTAGCATTCTAATGCCTACAGTTAAGAACCTGATCTTTATTAACAGTTGTTACTCGTGATTGAGCTAACTAGCAGCTAAGCACCATTCTATTTTCGTCAAAATCAGCTAGAGGTCAAGGTCACCTAATTTTTTTTTAATCCTATTAATATCAGATAATACATAAAAGAGGAGTAACTTGGTGCTTTTATCCTTGGTCCCAGCAACCTTTCCTTTGTATATGAACAGGACAATAGCCAAGGACACAGTATGGTATGTATACTCTTACTAAAACAGGGTTATGCCAATGTAAAAGTGAAAAGTTAAAAATAGAAATATTTGAATGACTGAATATCACTATTACCAGAAAAGGAAACAAAGTAGTAAAAATTATATAGAATCACCTTTAACAGATGAAATGTCATCCCATTCTTCATCAGATTCAGGTAATGTAAATGGCTTCTCCTCAAACATCTGCTCTAATTCATCAGCATATGGTGGGTGATCATATGGGGTTATCATCCGGTAAGAGATTGCATGGTATAATTCTCTGTAATATTCACTCAGTTCCACCAAAATATCACTGTTACTGATAGACAGCAGAGATCTGGGGGAAAAATTATACAGGGGGTATACCCAATGACAGCCTTTTGGTGTTATTGCCACTAAAATAATAAGAACAGTACAATACCCTGTGTGTGCATGATTTTATTTTCATAACTAACTTAAAACAGATACAGTAATAGTGTATACCTATTCTTTTAATTTGTTTTTCTTTATAGAAAACATCCAATAATCATTTTGGTATCTAATTTCCTTCCTAATTCCTCTCAATTGCCCAAAGGGCTGGCTGTAAAAGCACTAGGTGACAGGGATGCTACAATAATAAGAAGCATTTATGCTATTTGTGCTAGATAAACCCATGAATGTTAAATTTGTGCATAAAACATAAATTACTGCTCAAATATATAAGGAAATAACTTAAATGCATACATACACTGCTAAATTAAGTTTTGTATTTTTCATTGTGATATAGCCTTTACCTGATAGCTTCAAACAGAAGCATGTAATACTTCATATGAAAATGACTAGAATAAATAAATGAAAATAACTTACCCATTTTCCAGTAGTGTAGGTATATTCAGGCATATATATTCCATTACAATTGTTTTCAACTGAAGTGCATTGTAGGTCACAGAAAATTCCAGCAATTCTGCCACATTCTTCAGAGTGAGCAACTCGCTCAAAACACTTTCACACAGTTCCCGTAGCCGAGTAATCAGAAATTGGTCTGCAACTGCCAGAACATTGCAAACAAACTCTGGATCTCGACATTGAATTAATTTTGGTGATTTATCTTCATAGAGATAGTCAAGGATAATGGAGAGGATGTTGGTTGGCAATGGCATTTCAAGAGATTTTGATGCAGTAGTCTGGAAATAAAATGGCAGTTTTAATATTTTAATAGTCTAAAGGCACGTGTTCACTTGAGAGTAAAGTGCTGTCGACAGCGCTCCTATCAAGTGGACATGGTTCTGAGAGTATCTGTCGGATAGTTTGTGTCTACTGTCGGAGAGTAGACACAAAGTGTCTGCGAATTCGCTCTCATGTGGACATGTGCTAGCCTGCAACTCTCAGCCATACGAATCAAGTTCGCAGTCTGACAGTGCTCTCAAAAGGTGAAACATGGCTCTCTGTACTCAGGAGAAAACTTTTGAACTAATATCCCTGTGTGAAGAGAATCCTATTCTGTGGGATTTCAAGAGGGAAGACTATAGCAAAAGAGGAAAGAAATCCTAAATAATATCTGGCATAAGCAACAAAATTAATGTTAATGTGTCCGAAATTCTTCGAAAACTCCACAATTTAAGAAACCATTCAAATTATCATAATTTCACCAACACTTCTACCTGAGCTGCGGACATGCATGTAAAATTATGGAATTATCAAGCATCTTCTAACTGTAATTCTTTCACAAGCCTATATTAGCATTCAATCCAACTTGTCATTCCACCCACTGCTTTACCCAACACTTTTTGTTTTAGCTTTCTTTTCTTTACTAGCACCAGTGTGACTATAAATGCTGCAGCAAACTTCCTATTGCATCTTCTAGCTACCGACTGACCGAGTCACTATAGTGTGTAGCTCTAGTTCGGGTGGACACACCACTGGGAGTTTTTCCAACAGTTACTGTCGGAAAAACTCTCAAAAGCTGAAACTGGCAGAAATTTGCTCTCGTGTGGACACACACAGGAGAGAAGTATCGACAGTAACTATCAAGAGTCCACTCTCAAGTGGACACGTGCCTTTATAATCATAACTCTCACAAAATATAGCTATAAACAACTAAAAAAAAGAGTCAATCTCATATATGAAATAAACTAAAATTACCCAAGGCCCCAGTAACTCAGCTTGAGTGTGACCATGAAATATGGCAGCATAGTAAAGAGTTGACAAATATGTAAGTAACAACCTAATTCCATGTGTGTGACACCTATACCACTCTGCTACTCTTCCACCTCGACATAAACATTATCTGTATGATGTCCAATTAATATTAGACCAGATTGTTAAACTTCCAAGAATATGAAATGCAACATTGCTCCGTGGTCACTTGAATAAGACCATTTGGGACTTGTTTTGCCTTGCCAGGGGATGTTCAGCATATTGGATCTCATCAGTCCACCATCATTAAAATTTTATGGCCATTTTCCATATTCACCATAAATTACTTTCACAATCTTCACTAGTTGAAAACCACTACACAACAGTCAAAAGGTTACTTAAAAAAATTAAATCTTACTTGCATGAATTACAGATTTTAAATTAAAAATATGACTTGGCAAGAAAATCTCAGCCAAAATTTGATGGCTGAAGGCTAAATAGAAATTAAAATAAAGTCTGGAAACCAAAGACTTGGTCAATATCTAGTTTCATTAGTGACATTTACCATTGACTTTGGACCCCCAAAATGTCTTTCTGCTTTCTATATACAAAGCTTCTATCCAACTTTGGTGGATAAGGGTTAAAAAGAACTAGGTTATGCTAATCAAGTGTGTGACTGCAGAAATTTACTCTAATCCAACAAAACCATATCCCTGACTCATAACACATACAGGCCCCTATACAATCTAGACTTTGCCAGATAGTGTTCTGGTGGAGTAATCAATCTCACAAGTCACTTATAGAGCAAACCCTAAGCTTGAAGAAGCTTTCATGCTACATAAAAATTTCCCTTTACCTCCATCCAACTGGCTCCAAACATGCAATGAAAATATTCTAACTTTGCAGCAAGGATGCACTTGTGGGCCCCAAGAACCTCTCCATTTTTGCTACGGATCATCACATCCCATAGCTCCTGATGCTTCTCTCGACTGTATGTGCATTCTTCCTTGCATGTCACTGTAAACCTGTAGATACAAATAAAAATTAAAGAAAAACTACAGCAGATAATGTCTTTTTTATTTTTAAATTATGGAAGTCAATCAAGATGGTCAACCAAAGCAGAACAACCTTTCACTGATAACAATGAGCTCAATATACTGTAGTTAAAATTCTATACATCAGCAAAATCTAATACTGTATCAAAATCAAATAAAAAGTGAACATAGTTGGAGATATGAGCTAGGAACACTGTTATTGGAAGTTTATCATACACAGTAGCTTTGTTTTAAAAGCAATTCAAAACTAATAAAAGTTGGAATAGTCTTTTCTTCTATTTCCTGGGGATAGATAATTATTTTGTGGAAATAATTTCAAATGAATGTACATGACTGTGTTAGTACGATAATGACTCCTTGACTCCACGGCAAGAGGTTCAAAGAGATAAGAGAACACTTCATACGGATATTTTACACACTAGGAGCAACAGACAAAGCAATTATACATATATTTAAAATATAGAGACTAACTGGTATGTTAATGATGAGGCAAGATCTGGACATCTAGGTATACCTCAGGAAAATGTTGAACTGATAAAGAGAAGTTTTTGAATGAAATCCTAGAACATTAATTCTCACAGCATCATGTAGGTAGCAGACACCCAGATCAACTGTTTGCAAGATTTTAAAATCATCATTAAAATAGAATTGTTACCACATTCAAGTGCTACTTGAGTTACATAAAGCAGATTATCCTTGATAAGCAAACATGTGTCAAAATTACAACAGCAAGAGGACTTTTCACAAAAATAAGAGTTGTTGCATCTGGGCCAGTGAAGAGCCAAATGAGTTCTACAAATGAAAGACAGATTCTCCTAAAACACATAACTGGGTGGGTATGACAAAACCATAGATTTATGGACCCATTTTCTTTGCGGAGCTACAGTGATGGGACCAGATTATCTTGACGTCCTTAGACATCTTTGCAAGGGACTTTATAGTCCGAGATGTACAAAGTTGCAGGTGTACCAGATTTGCATAACTGCATTTAAGTAGCAGTGAGAAAAATAACCACAGATGCTAGTGCAAATTCTCAGCAAATCATCCAAGATATTTGGGAAGTACAGACACTGATAGTGCTCAAGTTGAACCTAATATCAAGGCTTGATATTTATAAGTACAAAATTGGTTATATTATTCATTACCTTTCCTGTAATACCATTATTTCCACAAAATAGACAGGGACTTAATGGAGAGTTTGTACAGATATAATAATATATGACTTATACTGTACATACAAGAAAGACACTTACCTGTTAGCAGGCTTCTCTCCAATTTGAATACATTCATCCATATTCTGTCTTATATCAAGCAGTTCTTTTTCAAGTAATGGGATTTCCAGTTTCTTTGCAACTGACAGAGCAGTCTGTAGTGTGTGTAGCATTCTATCGGCCTCTGTTGACCTTTGTCCTTTTTTCTTTTTTTGTCTGTTAGTAGTTTTTACACACTCTGCTTCTTCTTTGTATAATGAATAAGCAGACCTTTGGTTTAAATTTTCACTTGATGTCCATTCATGCTTGACTGGAGTATTACTATTGATATCGTCCAACAGCTGGTCATTTGTTGGCCCATTCCGATTACAGCCTCCATCAGTAAATTTGCATGAACCAGTATATATGAATGTCAATACTTCTTGAAAGACATCTGGTTGAATATTATGAAGAATCACGAGTTTCTTTCCAGAATTCTGAAGAGTGTTGCCCCACACCTTCTGAACATCCACTTTTTCATCCAGCAAGTTGCCCCTTTCATTAATGAGTTGGCGGCAGAAATAACCACTATGGCTTGCCAAGATATAGGAGTGGGCAGGAAATCTTTGAGTGCCACATACAATCACAACATCGTGTATTGTATCCAATTCATTAGCTTCTTTAAGTAGAGACCCAAAATTTTCTACTGCAGTACTATGGCATACTTGGGGTATGTTTGACACAAGAGCACTTAGATCCAACTGGAGAGCAGCAAAATTAAGACCCTTTGGATCACACATGATGGCAGTAGTGCGGTGCAAAGCAGCAATACGAGTGATGCGTAATGTGAAATAAGTACTGCGATCATGGAATTCAAGAACTTGACCCTTTATTCCTGAAAATCTACGAAAAGAAAGCTTATCAGATGTCTTGCGTTCACGAAGAGGCAATACAACAGCAGAGAAGGCCTCTCCTTTATCAGTTACTATCCCAATGCAATGACGACCCAGACAGAAGTCAGATAAAATTAATTCTCTGTTGATGCTAAAAGTACAGCGTGACAGCTGAGAGGACTCTGCAGTCCAAAAATACAGATGACCTAATGCATTTCCAGTGAGGACAGCAATCTTAAGGTCATCACCTCCATGTTCTATGAGACCATCTGCTCCAATTTTTGAATCTAAGTGACCTCCAACACATGCCACCTTGCTCACTCCACACAGCCTAGAGGCTACCTTGCGTATTTGGTACTGATGAAGAACATATATATCCCCAGATGATGTTGACAATACAGTGGCTCCATCACTAGCTCCCACAGAGACAAGCCGAGTTTTTTCATTTAAAACCACTGACGTCACCTGTCTTGGGATGACAATGGTACGTTCATTAGCATTCTTGAAATGACCAAGTTGGCCTGCATTGAGACCAAATGTATACAGCATGGTGTGTGTCCACATAACAGAGTGGTATTTGGCTGCAGCAATACCTTCAATATTTTCCTTATGGGATTTATGCCAAGTGAGCAATCTTGGAGTATAAACATGTTCTGGTGGTGGATTAAGTCCCAACTGATGATACAAGTTAGTACCACAGCTCCACACCTGGGAAAATAAAAGGAGCAAAATTATTACTTCTGAAAGGAAGATCATTATCATAAATACTATGAAGAAAGTTGAGGGTCTATTTAATAAGCCCATACATCACAAAAAATTTAATTACATGAAAGTTTTAAAATCACAAAAATGTAAAACACAACACTTACTTGTCCCAAAGAGTTTAAAAACAGAGAATGGTCAGGACCTACAGCCACCTTCTCAATAGTTTCATGTAAGAAGGCCTTAACAAGACGTGGGGTGATAACTGGGGAATTGGTATCCAGTCCCAGCCGACCTCCTTGGCCATGACCACAAGCATATACACGACCACCAGTACCAAGGAACAAAGTATGAAATTTACTCATAGCCACATCCTTTAGGTCATCACCTTCACGATGTAAAGAATCTAAACACTCTGGTGTTCCTCTTGCATGTTGGTTTGCCTGATAAAAGAAAACATACATTTCTTATTAAATTTGCTGTGAACCAATTGCCTAATGATGAAGAAAAAAAAAATCATAGCAATGCAATTGAAATTACAGTGAAGTATCCCCCCCACCCCCAAAAAAAAAATATATGAATTATAGATAAGTACACAATACTAACAGATAAATAGAGCTACTGCTGCATACACACACACAAACACTTAAATCAAATAAACTAATGTTAGAGTGATTCAAAAGAGATCAAAGACACAGGAAGGAAATCATAACTTAGTCCTAATCTCTATAGGTTGAAAAGTCATTGAACACTAAACAAAAGATCCAGACAAGATAGGAAACCTGTTCTTAGTAAGATGGAGAATGGAGGGAGCAGAGAAGCCTGATCCCATTTGTTCCAGAACCAGGAAAGTATACTTTTGTATTACCCTCCTGTGAAATAGACTGGGACCTGGTGATATAAATAATATCTCCCACACATTCTATCATGGTAAGATTCCCAGATGAAGAATTCAAGCGATCCCCTTTGGATCCCACATCCACTGAGATGGTATCAACTGTTCCTGACAAAACACCTGCTCTGACACCAGTGGCCAAAATACAGTAAGTGGTCACAAAAAAGAAATGCATATTTAGCAAATTCTCCCTTTACTAAGATGAACCCAACTGAGAGATTCCAGAAGCTCCGAACAGACTCCATGAAGAGCTAGAGAATAAACTCCTGCACTCCAGGATATATCCATGGCATAGAAATCTCATCAGTGGGCAGAGACATCTGCATACACAAATAGGAATTAAATATAAAACAATGGACTATTCCAAGAGCAAGGAATCAGTTCAACATGTTCCTGCCAGAAACAGAAAGATGTAATTTAAGTTCCATATAGCACATCTAGCTATTTGCAATGTTGTGAGAAATCAGAGAACAACAACAACTTGAGGAGAATTATCAAGTAATAAGTGAAGACATAGAACTTTAGGTTATCTAAGTGAATTTGCTAAGCTCATAACTCACCTGTCCTAAATTATAATTTGTGTTATTACCCCACACATAGACCCGCTTTGATAATCCATTGTTGAAGGAAACTGTAGATAGCCTATCAAAGTTTGCATGGTCCAGTGGTGTAAGAGCATCATGATCCAAGGTTGATAAGTTACCACCAGCCTGTTGTAAAAAGAGAAGAGTAATATATTAAATTACTTAAGATATGTAGTGAATGATGGTGGCTTGATACTGAAATCCCTTTTTCTAGATAAGCTTATAGCCATAAGGATCTCATAATACAGGGCTACTATCTATGGGGTCCATGCTTCATATAATCCTCCCATAACATCAGCCAGGGACATCTAAACATTAATCATGCTTTCTTCTCCTTCATATACAGTATCTCCTAAAAAGGGGCTAAGAGGTCACATTAGAGACGAGTTTGCCAAGTTACCACCAGATACACTAAGAAATATTGTCTGCCATCTCGATTTCAGGCCAATCTGCAAATTTGAAATCAATTCCAGCTGACTGAGCCACAAACCTGTTGGAGGGTATCCAAGCCAACTGGCTATAGCCTCTGCTAGAGAAGGGGATTTCTAGCTATAGTGGACAATATTGCATAAAAAGCAATATATATCATGGTTACAGTATATTAAATTTCCTTAATCCTTGTTCTGTCTTTTTTCTTCTTTTCATTCCACAAGCCTCAAAGAACCTCAAATTTACTACAACAAACTTATGCAACTAACAATATCCAAAAATTTGAAACTACATTCCAGTAACATTAATTAGCATGTGCTGTCTCCCCAAGTCCCTTTAGAGATGGATGGAAAAATATTTCCTCTATATATGATAGACGTAAAACTTACCTGAATTAAAGCACAAGCAACATGAAGATGACCATAGAAGAGTGCACGATGTAAGGGAGTATAACCACTTTCCCAGTCACGCTGATTCACCGATGCTCCTTTTGACAGCAGCCACTTCACCACCTGTCAATAATAATAGGTAATACTTTGGATACAAACAAATCCTTACAAAGTTTTAAAATCCATAAATAAAAAATTTAAAAGACTGAAAATATAAAATACTGTATATGTCAGTTTCTTATTAATACCCTGGTGTCTGGGAGTTTTGTTAAACTATAACTCTTTCCAATAGACCAATTATATTCTTCTGTTAAGTGAAGAAAGATGTAAAACAATGTGTCATTAATACTACAGTAATTGGACGATGCATTATGACAAAAACTTTTCAGAAATTTTTTATTTCCAAAAATAATTTTCAAATTTCTGATATGCAAATGTATTAACAGTGAGCTCAGAGCAGCAAACAAAAAACTGACCTTTCTTTTGCCACAAGAAGCTGCAGTGTGAAGCGCAGTTTTCCCCGTTTCATCCGACACAAAACAACAACGCTGACACAGATTCTGGAATAAGGGAGGGGGGGGGGGGTATGATCAGTGAACGAGAATACATCTGTGTATCTCGTATCTCTCCAAGATGGCCGCTCCAGCTAACTCCCAGAGGCATGCACTTTGATTTTTTGCCAGGCCACAAATTTGTATAAGCGAGGGAAGCTTTCGTTACATGAAAAAGAGGTGCTAATTTAGGAAATTCATTTACACAGATTTTTGTATCAAGAATGTTCATAGCTATTGCCTCAAAACCAAAAGGTACCAGTTATTAAGAACAATATAGCACTTAAGAGATTTTTTCTTTGAATATGCCGTTACAGCTATTAACAACCCTAGCAAGTTCAATTGAAATCATATAAGCATTTCAAGTCAATTATTGATATATAACTGATTGCCAATGCAAAAGGGTAGATATGGCCCTGGCTGGGTGAGCTAACTTAACAGTAAATTAATATCAATATAAAGACTAGTCATCCTTATCCAAATCTTGCAACTTACCTTTGTATATGAAATTGCTTGTGCCTCAGACCCCCTGATGATTGCTGCAGTGATAAGTGATCCATGTTTCCGGGAACGACACCCAGAAGTGCAATTTGACTCCAGTGCTCGACTCATTTTGCTCTTATACTTGGAATATGAAAGCAACTGCAAACAACAAAATAGCTGTCCAGCTGGTGTAGGGCAACCTTCAGTTCTTCACTCCATCTACATACCTAATTCACAGCTTGATTATGCCATACAAGTGACACAATGTACAATACCGTGGACACTATCAGCTCATGACTGAAATATTTCATTTTCTACTTGGAACTGCTTTTGAATCATAGCTATTGATTTAAGATTGTCTTCAAATTTTCTCTAAATCAAGAGAGCTATAGTTCTCAACTCTATCATATCCATAATTATGTACACAAAAATGTCTAATTCTTAGTAAGAGTAATTACAGGTAATTACTTCCAACACATACACGTGAGGGTTCTTAAAATCAAGAGAACCAATAAAAAAAAAACCTGGAGACCAGCTCCAAGTTAATTCACAGCCATACATATGAAAGACATTAGATATATTTTTGTGTCTTCATGATAAACTGGAAGAACACTGGAGGTCTGGAGCACACAAGGCTCAATTTGTTGAGTCTACAACAGTCTGAATTCAAGGTATACGTACATATATTCTGGATTCATATGGGGAAAATAATATCACATGAACTGCCAACTGGCAATAGTTTTTCAATAAGCAACTCGTAAATGTTTCCTGTTGAGTAAATCCATAGGAGATGCTGTCTATAAAACAATTGGTTCATATACAGTATTACTGCATAGCTTGTTCTATAGTGCACTTTACAGTGTTAGTATTGTATTACTTTCCATGTTTTTTATTCTAGTTTCTACAAGATACAAACACTACAGTCAAAACTGCCCTCTATGTATCTAACTGCACATTACATGTGATATGTCCAGAGTATAACAAGGCATTTTAAAAGCTCACAGTCACTTCCTCTCATGTAGAGCTAACTAATAACCATTGGTTGCTATATAATGTTCCACAAACTTTCAACAATTTCCCTCCATCAGATATTGAAGTAATGATAGGAGCAAAGGGGAGCCATTACTCAGCTGCGGACCCCCAAAGGGGGCCCTTCTTCTGCTCCCCCGCTCTTAGGCAGCCATAATTATTGAGAGGGCCTGCAAAGAGAAACAGGTACTATAATTGTATATAACTTAAACATGTAAATAAAATAGCCTATCACCATTACCACACAAACATACATTTTTCAAACACAGTAGATCAATGCAAACTAGCCCCTTACTAGGTCTACTGCTTATTATGTACTGTACTGTTATGCCAAGGCATAATTTGGTATTAAATTTTTTGTGAACTTGTTTTTCTTAATATTTTCTATTCCAAGCAGCAATTATTTGGGCAAGTTATGGGAGACTTTCTTGTATATATTGATGCATTACCTATGTAAGAATTTTCTAGAATGTATTGCTTTTTTTTTCGGTGAATAGCCCACCCGGGCACAGATCATCGACCCACAACGGGGCCTAGGCAGCGAAAAAATGAGAGTATAAAGAAATTAAAAATAGAAAAGAAAAAGATTATACTCGTACAGTGATCCCTCGGTTAACAAATTACCTTCCATAAGAATCTTCAACTCGATTAACGAACAAAAATTCGGTTAACGAAATCCTTATGAAATCGTGTCAACATGTTTTCGCCTGCTCACCAGCTGGAGTATTAGTCCGCCAATACAGTAATCGGTTTTAGGGCTTAAATTCGTTACCATTTGAGTAAATATCAAGAAGGTTGTACTATTCAATAATTTTCCAAGTCTTATATTAAATTTTTTTTAGTCATTTTAGCAATTATGTAACATAATTGAAGTACAGGGAACTAGTTTTTAGCGCGCCAAACAGCCACTTGACTCACCCAGAATGGCGTCAGTTTGTGTCTCTGATCAGTGGAGGTAGCATCTTGCTTTGAGACTCTCTTGAACATCAACTATTTTTAAGTTTTTACAGTACAATTATTGGTCATTCTGAAATTTATTTTACATATTGACAATATATAGTGCAGTGCAGTGTTGATTTAAAGAAAATAATCTTGAATTACACCAAGTGAACTTAAAATTTTATGGGTGAAATGACGGCATGGGGTGACTTCTCTTCCACCCCCACTGCCCTCTCTTGTCCCTTCTCCTCCACCCCCACTTCTAATTCCCATCATCATCATCATCAACCAGGAGCCTTCTACATACACACCTCAAAGTAAGTGTACTTTACTGAACGTATTTTTAGTTTGTATGTAATTTTCGGTGAGCTGGAACCAATTACCAAAAATCCCAGTGAAACAATGGTTTCGGTTAACGAACGACCTTCTAGAACGAATTGTGTTCGTTAACCGAGGGACCACTGTACTGTATTAATCTACATCACGAAGATGCCGGAAAACCAGCTTTTTGAAGTGACATTGTATGTGTATGGAAACACAGAAGAAAGTAGAGCATTCCACAGTTTGACTGTGTGAGGAAGGAAGGATGTACTATAACGGGTTATTCTTGTTTGACCGACATCCACAGATAAACGGTGGGCATCGCAGGCAAGACGAGTGTTACGAGCCTACGACCTTGCCGGCGGTACACAGGATGCCAAATCCACCAAACATTGCCCGTTAAAGTATCTGTAAAAGGGAGACATGTCTGGGTGGTGCAAGGATGTTATATGATCGTCTGATGAGGTATATATGCGGCAGTGGGCTGCCTTAGAATTAGTCGATCGGTTCTGCTCAGAGTGTGAAGTACAAGCCTAGTAGTGACAACTGAAATTAATTGTTGTGCAAGTATTGTGGAATTGTTGTGAGCAATATAAAGTGAAAAGACTAAGGAATTGTACACTGGTAGTGTGCCGACTACAGTATATACACCGGTATTCCAAGTGAGAAGTCCAGCTGTGAAGACAGACCCTGCGAACAGTGTTGTAAAGAATAAGTGATAATTAGAGGAGACTAGAGGTCACAAGTGTGTTTCTGTGACTTGGTGAAAATCTACCTGCCTGTTGTTTGTCTGTAAACTAATACTGATCGTCAGGAAATTACCAGACTAGCAGAACAGCTAGTAGTAATTTGAGGTTACTTGTGATATATCTACTGCTTCTGTACATACGACCTTGGCCTCTGGCAATCAGTGGTGGAAGAGGAGGGTCGTAATAGTACTATTCACCTGATGACTAACAAAATTAATCCAGTAGTAACCAACTCTTAATTTTCCATTTAAATTCTGTCCCACATTCTCAACATTTTGAGTGTGGAAATAACTGTGTAACTTGCCCATAGTCTTGCAAGATCACGTTTTATTCCTTTTGTGGGGACCGGTGGTAGATGTGATACCATTCTTGCCTTGCAAGCGAGATGTCACGGGTTCGATTCCCGGGCCGGTGGAAGTTGTTTGGACTTACTTCCTAGCCCCCATTAGTCCCTGTTCACCTAGCAGTAAAGTAGGTACCTGTTGCAAATCGAAAGTTGTGAATTAGTATTCAGGGAGTTGTTGGAGCTTCCAATAACTTGATGACATAAACCACTGACTCTTCAGGCTTCTACGCCCTTGACTCTTCAGGCTTCTACGCCCTTGACTCTTCAGGCTTCTATGCCCTTGACTCTTCAGGCTTCTACGCCCTTAACTTGTGAGACATAAAGGCAAGCATGAACTTAGCATGCTTCCCTATTGGGCGCTGTCAACGCTTCTGCGCTTCACCTTACACAAGGATGTAGGGGGGTGCCCAATAAAAAATAAATAAATAAAAATAAATAAAAAGTTTTATTCCTTTACCAGAATATTTGCCATTCCCCAAATTTGGTCAGAGTATTTAATTACCTCAAGCAAGATGGTGACAATAAAAAAGTAGGCACTGTGAGTGTGCTCTGATTGGCTAATTGTCCATTACCAGTGAACAAAATGGCAAAATATCCATTGCATTCATTATTCCTAGAGTTATATGGGAAATACGTATTGCAATAAACAACAACCACAGAATTCCGGAAATTCACTACACTCACTCAATCGATAGAACTATTTTTTCTATGATCATTTTCTTATACCTGTATTACACTCCGCTGCAAATTGATAAAAAGGAAGTTATTGAATTTTAAAAAGAATAAAATCAGAGCACCTCTTGCCCCTATGCTGTTGCTCAAATTGTGTGTGTTCGTACTTGAGTCGTGCAAATATTGTGACGACTATTTACTGTATTTGGTAAATGTTTACAAAACTGTTATCATTAGAAGTTGTTTGTTGATTTTCTTTATTTTTGCTATAATTATTGTTTTGATGATTTTAATTATATTAAAAGAAACGACAACTTTCTAGAATAATTAAAAAAAAATTAATTATTGTTTTTAGTTACTCTATCCCACCGCATAATTCTCCTCCCGGTGCATGCCTAGTACTTGCCAACAGTGTGTAACAGAGACAAGACCGATCGCCCAAGTGGCTAACGAACCGATCAGTGGTGAAGAGGACAAAAGTAAAAGCAAGTAAAAGAATCCATCTTCAAGAGACATTTCCTAAATGATGGTGAAAGCTTCCACAAATTCCTCCTGATGTATATCAACCTCAATATTAAGGTAAGTTGTTTAACACATAAATTAACACAATAACGAATAGAACCTAATAAAACCTATGGGTATGTTAGGTCAGGTTCTATTAGGTTTATGTATTGTCGTTTCCATTTGTGTGTTTAATATCATGCTATTAGTGTGTACAAAAAATTTAAATCAAATTGCAGATTTCCTTCGGGTGATAACAGTTTTGTAAACCTTTACCATTTATATTCTCATCGAGGCTGACCACGTGACACTGGGTTATTACATAGCATCTGGGGGTCCAGGGGTGGAGCCCTTGGCTAGGGGGTTAGGTAAGGTTTAGTTTCGTTATATTGTATAAGTTAGCAAGCACAGAGTACCGGGAATTCAGAACACGCAATCGATAGAACTATTATTTCTACTATTTTTTCGTAAATAGCAGAATTTGTGTAATGTGTTCTTCTGATGTTTTCTTGTTGCAATCCGGCCAATTTGGGAATTCGCTTCTACCACAAATTACTCGTTTTAGCTTCTTCCCTCCCAGAACCCAGAATTCCCACGCTTTCCCCCATTATTGTTGGGGGGCTAAATCCAAAATGAGTGATTTTCGGTAAAAAGGATGTCAGTTTTGAACCAATCGCATCAAAGACATCAGAATAAACACTTTTTTTTCCTCATGTTCTTTGGTTGCTACAATCTGCAATTTTACAATTGTTTGGATGATAGGAAAACAGAAATAACAATGCACAGGCTAGGAAGTTAGGTGAGGTTAGGTTTGGTAAGGTTCTAATAGGTTCTGTGGATTGTCATTTTAATTGAATTAGCCAATCAGAGCGCACTCACGGTAAAATAGCGTTAGTAGGTATTCAGCCAGTCACGGCAAAATATCCACTGAGAAGAAAATAAATCCCAAGATTTAAGAATATATATTTACCAAATATGTTATGGTGACATCTCTAGTAAACGCTTAAAAATATATTTTCCATAATTATATTTCTATGTTAATGACAATTAGCGGAAATTGTAAAAGTAAAGTGTCAGCAGTGTTGGGCGACATATGTAAGAGATGATATTTGTTGGCAAGTACACGTATTACACCTCCATCTCACTAAGCCAACATATTTACCAACTTCTCATACCTTCTTTACTATTTGAAACTCTCCACCACGGTGAATCCAACACGGAGAACTGAAGTCATGGCAAAAGAATCCAAAAATGCTTGGCCAAATCCGTCCATGACGTGTAGTGTGTGGTGGCCGTAACGAGACTACTGAACGACCCTCCGTCCTCTGACCGAACCACCGACTCCATAAGGGAATTCATCTAATACCTTTACTTTACTGGGATCTCTGAATTAATTAAATCTGATATAAATAACAAAAAACAACAATGACTGTACTTTAGGAACAATTAATTAATATTGGTAATAACTTATGGAAATTTAACTGATGAAGAAATCTAAACAATATGATTATGTAGTCCTAGCTGTGATTATAAGTCGTTAATAAGTACTGTATGTTAGGTATATCATCCAAATATGATATACATAACATAATTTAATAGGATGATTGACCAATGCAAAGTGTGGGATGATAACTCTTACACAGCATGATGTCATAAGTTTGTTATTTTTCTCTCGAGAGCAAACTTACAGGTGCAAACGCATATTAATATGATCACTTTAAGATTAGCTCCCCATTCTTATTTCACATGATTATTAAACTCCCTAATCTCAATTAACCTAATCCCCTGGGTGGCACTGGGTGTTAAATCATCAGTTGAAATACACTGGAGCTAATCTTCAAGTGATTTGAAATGCAAATATTCTAGTTATGATTTGAAGTGAAACATTATCAGAGTATTACTTTTAGCCAAGACCACTCAGCATTATAAATTAGCTGTTTTCTGAATACACAAACTATGCTGTATTGTACAATGATTATATCTACAATACATGGCTTGTTACTGTATTCTGGTAGGAGGTTAAAGGTGGTCAAACTACTGTAATTTCAAAGTATACTGTATCAAGATTAAGCAATTGAGCTTATTTCACTTTGTGATTAAACACCCTAACTACGGAGGAGGGGGGGTAGATCAGTGCTTAATCATCATATGAAATAGGCTCTGGTTCCTAATTCACATGCTCCTTCTTTTCATATTTATACAGAACCTTAAACTTGTGTATACAGTACTGTGCTTAAGGATGTTTTTAACTACAAAGTGGTTACAACACTCCCAATTTTCTAGAAAGGATTTATTGAGGTTTCTATTCATTAATTTCATTGTTTAAAAGGAAAATATTGATAGAAACTATTAATCATTAGACATGATTGAAGGCCAATGGCACCAGAAACATTACAATATAATTTTCAATTGAAATCCGTGGGGGTACAGCAGTCACTTAAAACATAAAAGGAATAAAGGCAAGCTTTAGTATAGATCTCTTGCAATAAATACAAGCTTCAGAGAGATGACAATAAAACTGGTTACATGTATGAAAATTTTATTGAATTATTCTTAAACTAGGAATGCTAACAAGCTACAACACATTGCATGGTATCAATGCATAGCCCTGACAATATAGCTAGCAGCATCATTCAAGTAGGGTAGACACTTGTACAGGCAGGCTGTGGGTTCCTGCTTGTGAGATATGTGATTCTGTTGATGTGATCAATAAAAACTTATGAAGTCATATAGTATGCTTAATTGAATGTTGAAAAACAAAATATTAACATGTTTAAGCACAAACATGTGATCTTATGTACTGTACATATACATATGACTATACAGTACCTGTACTGTATTATTGAATGTGTTTAAGATGCTCAATGTGTACTGTTAAATGTGTTTTAAATTATGTAAAACTCCATGTAATATATATATATAATATAATATATATAAATATATATATATATATATATATATATATATATATATATATATATATATATATATATATATATATATATATATATATATATATATATATATATATATATATATATATATATATATATATATATATATATATATATATATATATATATATATATATATATATATATCGCATGTAAATCCACAATGGAAATGTGGATAAGATAAATATTGATAAAATCACACGGGAAAATGGAAACAACGGAGCACCTTAGCTTTCGTCTTTATTCAAGACATCTTCAGAGGCAACTGGACTACATGGACAGAGAGAGGCTTAAATATACAGGGTGACCTTAAAAACATGAGGTCAGGTCATAATGATGTCATCCACTAATCCCCACACCAACACACACGTAGAAGAGCTGACCTGACCTCATGTTTTTAAGGTCACCCTGTATATTTAAGCCTCTCTCTGTCCATGTAGTTCAGTTGCCTCTGAAGATGTCTTGAATAAAGACGAAAGCTAAGGTGCTCCGTTGTTTCCATTTTCCCGTGTGATTTTATCAAAATATATATTATATATATATATGTATACCTATATATATATATATATATATATATATATATATATATATATTATATATATATATATATATATATATATATATATATATATATATATATATATATATATATATATATATATATATATATATATATATATATATAATATATATATATACTGTACTGTGTGTGTACAGTATGTATGTGTCAATGTGTTTTCATTTGTTTTCTGAAAAAGTATATTAAGGTACCAGAAACAATAACAGTCAAGCTTTACTCCTCTGAATATTTCTACTTATATAGTATATAGTACTGTACAAGTAAATTTTTATTGGTAAAACAATTTTTTATAAAAGTTATACCAAGTATATTGTTAGATTTTGCATACAACATTTTGACAAACCTAAAATGTTAATATACTGTACAAACTTCCTAAAGCCATATTCAGAAGACATACAGTTTCATCTATACATTCACAATGATCATAAATTAACTGATCCATTATTTATAGAAAATTTGAATTCATTGAGAAATTTACTTATATATTAATAGTATTTGTGCACATGACATGGAGAATAGATTGCATGAATCAAAATCACCTGAGAGCAAGTCGGTGCATTAGGAAATTGTTAACTGTCATGGTAATATTTATAAAATTAGCAGAAACTGAGATAAACAAGGGGATCTATAAATATATATACTTCTTAAACACTATTTCTGTCCTTATTCAACTTGTATGTATGAAAACAAGACATACAGTATATACCATATATATATATATATATATATATATATATATATATATATATATATATATATATATATATATATATATATATATATATATATATATATATATATATATATATATATATATATATATATATATATATATAGTATACTGTACTGTATATAACTCTCCCCAAAGAAGGGAGAAGCACAGAGCTGGAACATATTATCCCTGCGTTCATGCCCCTGGGCACTGATTTGACTGAGGTCTGAGGTTAGTGAAATTATGGAACATAGAAGTACTGCATGCACATTTATAAAAATTTCTAAATTGACATAACTTGTAAAATTTATGATATGCCACATGGAAATCCTTCATCATGAGCATCATCACCATAGACTATTTTTTGATAATTATTTTGATCTTATATCTTTCTTACATATACGTAGACTTACAGCAAATGGTCAAAAAAAAAAGTTTAATGAAGGAACATGAAAACATGCACAGAATGAATTATGACCTATGAGGGACATGTTAAAAAGATAATAATATTCATGAGAGACTAATTTAAGAGAAACACTTGCCCCATCTGACACAGACAAGTCTACACATACAGAAGAAAAAAAAAAAAAATTAAATATACTGTATATAAAACTGCATTATTTATGAATGATTTACTTTGATTCATGTAGGAACACTGTTGTAAATTAATTTGATGATAAATGAGGTTCGGCATACATATGACAAACTTTCACAGCTCAGGCTACAATTGACGAACAAACCACATGAGTGTACAAAAGCCATTTGATGGGGAAAGCAAGACTATTCCTTTACTATAAAAAAAAATGGATTTTCAGGGGTATGGTAAGTTCGTCATTCGTAAGCCGAGTGCCTCAAATATTGAGATTACATTTGCTGAAAGATGAAGCTGTTATGATTCATGGAGATTTTCACAAATGATATTATGAATTGGACGTGTCTTGTGACTAAAAGTTGAGGAAAAAATGAAGATGCTTGTCTTATCTGATAAATTCCTTTAGACTGCATATAACTTATACACTAAAGTAACCCAAAATGATACAGAGCTAAGGACAACAAGCAAACAGTTCGAGGGACATAATAGTACAGGGTGTAACTGAAATATTCATATTTAATTAATCCCATTTGGGGAAGAGAGAGAAAATCAGATAATTAGATGTGAAGTGCTACTTGGAGGTGGGATGGTATTACACTTTGATTTTAACTACTGTATATTCAGTTTTAAAAGGAGATCCAGCACCAACTCTTGCAGAACTTGGTAAAGAATGTGGTAAGCTGGTTTGACAATCACATATATAAGGCAGTTGCCATTAGTTACACAAAGAATAGGAAAGCACAAAATGCATGTGGGCTGCCAAAGTCAGTATATTTTAGGAGGAAATAATAAAACAGGAAAAGATAAAAGGTTTAAAATGAGCCGATATATTAAGGCATAAAAAAGTGAAAAGTAGCATTATCTGAAGGATCATGTGGAGCCTCAGACTGTAGCACACCAGCTAAAGGTTGTGCAAATATAATATGGCCAAAGAAAATAACAATCCATGAGAAGAAAAACAAACACTGTCTCCTTACAAAGGTTTCAAACAGCAGTATATACAAGAGATGACAAACCCTTCCTCCCATACAATGATTCTATGGGCAGAGAAGACCAAATATTTACTACTATTTGAAAACTATTACAGATATGAATTAAATTCATGTTAGACATGCACAATACTGACTAGTCATTGTCACCACAACCAATCAAGTAATAGATTAAGTCAAAGTTGATTACTTATTCCCACTTCCTAATTCCAAGTTTTTCCCTCAAAAACCTCAAGCATATACCAAGGAGCCAGGAACAGGGAACTAGTAACTGTGAACTGAGAATAACTAACCAACTTCAACCTAATAGGTAATAGTCTACACGTCTTTCATAAACTCATTTTTTAACATTTTATATTACAAGATGGCCATGTCAAATCTGTGTTATGCATAATCTATAAAGCATACAACACTGCCGACATATTTTAGATTCAAGTGCATCAGTTGCGAGGAATATACGGATCGACCTTCTGTACATCTTCTGAATATAG